AAAAATATGGAGACAAAAATGAGTTTAAACTTATACTTTGGAATGACAAATAAATTCATACCCATGAGTAATATTCGAATCCATCCCGACTTTGACGAAAAATACTCGATTTGACCGGGTACGGGTACGTGTAGAACCTAATATATTAAACCGGTACGGGTACGGGTACGGATATATACTTACCCGCCTCGTCCCCAGCTTAATACCCACCCCCAATTTAATTGTGTTAAAGAATTTTAATATTTTATTATATGTAATTATTTATTATAATGTGAAACATTTATAGTTGTTTAGTTATTAAGAAATAGAGAAATAACCTAATTATAATTGTAATATAATAGAAAAATAATTTAAAAATATTGTGTTTTTTTACAAAAATAAAATAAAATAATTTTTGACGAGTACAGGTATGGGTATACCCGATACCCAACGGGGACGGAGATGAGGATGAAAATTATATACCTGACAAGTACGGGTACGAGTACAGGGATGAGTTTGAGTCGCGAGTACTGAGACGGGTATCATGAAAGCCATACCCGACCCGTCCCGTTGTCATCCCTACTTATACTAAATTAGTTTTTTAACATGATTTTATCAATCCTTTAACATTTCATTTTTATTTTTAAGACTAATTTTGGATAAGATGTTTAAGGATTAATATGGTCATAATTTATTTATTTTTTAAAGATTAGGATGGTGTGCAATTTTTTTTTTCAAAGAGTGTAAAAGCTCAAATGAAAAGGAGTGATAAATTATAAATAATATCCTTGTCACACATATGACATTATTTTGGAATTGAGAAGAAATTTTTTTTAACCAATTTGATTTTCTATTAACCCACACTCTACTTGTTTTAGGATCATTTGAAAAGTTATCCTATCTAAACATTTTAAAAAAAATGTTTGCAAGTTTTAAATCTCATTCTATCTCGCAAAAATAAGCAAAATTTTAGAATTAATTTACTAAGTAAGATTAAAGGTGTTTATGGTTTGAATTTTTGGAAAATTCAAACTGAACCGAACTAGTCCATTTTATAAGAATAGATTGGTTAATCGATTCATTTTTTATAAAGTGAATCAATTCAATTTTAGAATAATCAATTTTCTAAAAATTGAATCGATTTGGTGCGGTTATCCACTTTATACTTATATGTGAGTCAATTTTTTAAAAGAATTGAACTGAATCAATCAATTTTATAAAAATGGATCAGATAACCAAATCGATTTTGTAAAATGGATCAATTAAGCTTTTTATTGAAACTAGTTGGATTTTTAATATGGGTTAATTCAATAATAGACTGGGATTTGGATTTCTTTCACACTTTTAAAGACTCATTTTTCATTCTGACCTTATACAAAACATGGTAAGTATTGAGATTTAAGGTGTTTTGTGCAAATGGAGAAAGCAAAACATTGCCATAAGCTCAATCATTTAAATATTATCTTTCTTACATTGATATATAAATTTGGGTTTATTTATCCACATATTATCGTTTAGGTAAAAACATTGACTAAATGTGATAATTTCTTACTCTACCAAACATATTCTCTTAATATTTCTTTTATGGTCTAAATGGTATAACTCGAAAACCATTATTACTTTTTGAAAGTCACATATTAACCATTTGATGAATGTATACTTTCTTATGTTGTCTGTAACGACTCCTCAATGGTCTCTACACTAGGTGACACAACTATTAGCGATGAAAAATTATCTAATGACTTAGGATTCTAAGTATACTAATACTTGAATATGTATCATAATATAAGACATATAACAATACATCAATTACACAAGCATGTATATACATTATAGATACAGTAATCCAGCTAAAAGTAAACTATATAGCTTATGTTACCGGTCAAGTAACTTCTATACATCATTATACAATTTATACTTAAGGGTAGCCTCAAAAGGAACAACTAGCTCCAACACCTCCTATAGTGGTTTCCACTGCACAACTCCCAAGACTAACCTATCTTTGTCCTATTCTCATATACTACGTATGATATCACAGTTCAAATCACATAGAAACACACAAGGATAAGCTAGAATTTAAAGAAAAAAATATGAATACAACAAAAAACATCAACAACATTGAGCATATCAACACTTATTCATTGCATCTTCAACACTATTAATGTATAGCATCATAACGCAACCAACACTATTAACACAAGCAACTTACTATGTAATAGCCTAAGGTTAGCATAGGCAACACACATCATCTCATAATTTAACACCTCAACATGATTCATTTTAATTTAATATTTCATATAAACAACACAGTTTAAACAATGCATCATAAGCACAATATAACAATTATATGTGTCATCATTAGGGATGGCAACGGGGCGGGTCGGGTACGGGTTTTATGATACCCGTCCCCGTCCCCGCGACACAAACTCATCCTCGTACTCGTACCCGTACCCATCGGGTATGTGATTTTCATCCCCATCCCCATCCCCGTCGGGTACCGGGTATACCCATACCCGTACCCGTAAAAAATTATTTTTTTTTTGCAAAAAAAAAAATACATAATATTTTTAAATGATTTTTCTTTTATATTATAATTATAATTAGATTATTTCTTTATTTCATATTTTAATCAAGAGATTTCTTAATAATTACACAATTATAAATGTTTCACATTATAATAAATAATTACACGTAATAAAATATTAAATTTTTTAAATATAATTAAATCGGGTACAGGTACGGGTACGGGGCGGGTATGTATATACCCATACCCATACCCGTACCCGGTTTAATTTATCGGGTTTTACCCGTACCCGTTCCCTTACCCGGTCAAACCGGGTATTCCCCGTCAAAGTCGAGACGGGTTCGAGTATTACCCACAGGTACGAGTTTATTTGTCATCCCTAGTCATCACACATTTCTATTAGGATATCTCCTACAACAAAGAGTAAGTAGTTTAAGTGACTTAACCCTACCAAAGCAACAATACAGGGTGATTTTTTTGGGCTTATTAGATCAATAACAAATTGAATATCAATCATCAACACAATAACTTGATTTCTCAAATATTGTCACTCAAATAAGGAAGTCTAGTATTATTATCAAGGAAGAATAACTAGGTATAAGTCTACCACAACATTAGCTAGCTTAACAAAGCTTCTTAGAGGATTAGTCTACCGACTATCCTTGAAATACTATGTCTTTTTGATACTCGTTTAGAAACTAATTCTAACTTCGTACTTTACTCAATTTGATCACTTTATACATGTGTCTCAACCTTATCCACGCATGATACCAACTAAGTCATAGAGGAGATTCAACACATCAATCCTTTTCGTTGGTTAACTTTCCACAAAGGATTTTCAACAAATTTCAGTTCTCAAAACACCACAACACAATATTCATACAATGAGATATGCAACTTTTAAAACAAGTTCTCCTGTATTCCTAGGTTGGTTATCAAAACTCAACAACACCATGCCTAAATTCCTAAAACATTCTCAACATTTATCATCTCAAAAATACAAAAATGTTATACATTTAGCAAATTCAACATAGCTACACAACCTACAACTAAACTCAATTTTCAATTAGCAACTCACAATATAATCCTCGTCATACAATATATCAACTTTCAACATATTGATTTCATTATCATGCAACGCCATCCTTACAACTCATTCATCATCATTTAGTCATAAAACAACTCAAACAAAAAGTGTTCAACATACAACTTGTTCATCAAGTAAACAACCAACTCAATTAAAAAATAAAGAATTTGACTAAGTTCTCAAGCTAAGCATGAAATCTCACGCTTAGTATCAGCCCTCCAAAGGTACACCTAGTTCTCATGGTAAGTGTGGAACTCATGCTTAGCCTTAGCCATGCTAAGTGTGAAAATTTACACTTAGCCTGAGTTATGCTAAGCATGAAAATTCATGCTTAGCCTCAACCTTTCAGAGGCACTTCCCAATTCTCACGCTAAGCATGAAAACCTACACTTAGTCTCATAAACCTAGAAACTTTTGCATCAATGAAGAACACCCCAACAGTTATAAACACTACCAAAATTTCAAAATTCTCTCTACTTATGCAATAATCCATGCATGTAACCTAAAAAATCTCCCCATTATAACATCATGCAACTCATAAATAAAAGGAAAAGAAACATGCATCAACAACACCTCATGGAAACCATCAATTTCTTAACTTTTTCATCAAGATCACCAAAATCTCAAATCCCCTTTGTAACCCAATTCGATTTGATCAACATATCGATGAATCTCAAGGGAATTCAAGCAACCTACAACTTATACATCAACTCAACTCAATCAACCAGAAATCCAACTTTCCTTACCTCAACTCCGAGCCAAACTGAGAAGGAGAAGAGGAAGAAGAATGAGCTTCACGAAATCTCCACACCAACCCTTGAAAACAGTTTCCCCCCTCTTCAAGTTTGAATCTCTGCTTAGGAATCTAGGAAGAAGAAAGAAATGTTTTTAGGATTCTTATAGCTCTTCTCACTACTCTCCTACTAACTTCTCCGAAGAAATGAACTAATAAAACTCATTTCTAAATAAAAGTCTTAAATACTTTTTTCCTACATATTCAACTTAATCTTTGCTCTTTACTTCACTTCTAACACAACTCATGAGAAATTACTCAATTCTAGAATTTTTAAACACTAAATAACTTAACAACCACAATAACATTTTATTAAAAAAATATATATAACATTCTATAACTCACAATGTTACATTGTCAATTTTTTCAAATTTTGTAAAAAGTCGGTAAAAAAATATTATTATTTTAACTTATATATTCTTATAAAATGAGAAACAAAAATGTGGTATAAAAAAAAGTTAGTATAATATAAAAGGTAGAAAAGGAAAAAGGTATTGTAAGTAGATTTGTGAGAATTTAAACTAAATAACAATTTTTTAGTGAAAATGCCCATCCTAGACCGTAAAATTGGCACCTAGTCGCTCGTGACAGGTAAAAGAATGATGAAGGCGAGGAAATTAAGCGGAGGCAAAGCTAAAATATTAGTATTTGGATTTGGATTTTTTTGCACGCAGCTGAGATGCCATGCCATGCTTTACATTATCCTACATCCTTAGCAAACATAAAGCATCATTCACACACTCTCTCTCTCTATTCAGACTCCGACTCCATGTTTCCCATTGCTTTCAAACCTCTCGGTCTCTGCATCAAAATTTTAAATATATTTCTTTATTTACATTTTAAATATATGCCATAAAAATAAGACAAGACAGATAGATATTCTTTTTCAATTTACCTTTTTGGATATTTTCTTCTCCCTAACCTCATATCGTTCCAAGGTAAGATCGCATAACCATGCGCCAGGACTGACGAGCTGCAAAACAAATCAAACCAAGTTCAATGCATACCTTCAAAATAAGAATAAAGGATATGGTAAATGGTAAGTTCTCAAGAAAATTGAACATGTAGGGTTGAAACAAATGACTTTCATCTTTACTTCATCCAAGTTTGGTAGGTGGAAAAAAAAAAAAGAGTGGATGAAAATAATAATAAAAAATAGAGATAAGTAAAAAAAAAAAACGAAATGGGAGTAAACTAAAAAATAAAAATATTTTCAAACTGATTTTTAAATTAAATAATAATTTTTTATTTAATCAATTAAATAAAAAACAAACAATTTCATTTATATTTTTTATTAGTTAGCTTAGTGATTGAGAGAAAAAAAGTTGAAAACTTGGAGTAAAAGTGAGAGAATTTAAATTCGGTTCAACGTTCGTGTAATCTTTTCTATGGATAAAAAGAAGAAAAAAAACATGAACCACTTCACACACACTTTTTAAGTTTTTATTTTTATAGGAGGAAACAATCTTCCTTATTTTTTCTCTCTCTTTGATCTCTTCACCATCTCCTATTTATAAAATAAAGCATTAAAAACTACCAAACATAACATTAAAAAAAAACTCATCACCTATAATATAAATTTTTTTTACACTGATAACTAATTATATTTTTTAATTGTATCATGTCACTGTTAAAAGTAAATATATCTACAGTAATATGACACAATTAAAATATATAATTGGTTTCCAATGTAAAAAAACTTTACTCAGATAGTTTATAGGTGATTAACTAAAAAAAACGTGATGCGAGACATTTTTATTATTTAAGAACCAAGACTAACAATAATTTAGTAAATGAAACAGTTAAATAATTTCTAAAATAGCGATACAAAAAATGGAGTAAGAATGAAGACGAGGTTATAAATTTAATTTTTTCAGCATGACCATGAGGGGTAGTATTAAAACGAGAATTTCTAGTCTCCAGCCAGCTATTGAGAATTTGAGAGCTCAACCGGTTCCATTTCAATTTGTCGGTTAGTAGGTCTTTGTATCAGAATTCAGGACCATCCACTACAACTGGCACCACTCATTCTTTCTAATCACAGAATGCAACCCACACGTGTTTTCACACACATCGTCTCCTATTTCTTCCCTAAGCCCACAACTAATGTGCTGCTGATTAAATACACCTCAAGTGGCCGAATCACAATAATAATCAACCTATGTGTCACTATCTTAATCTTAATTATAATAATAATTATTATTATTAAAATATTTGAATAAGAACATTGTACAGTTCACAGATTATTATCAAGGGCATCAAATTATTCTATAATATTCTCTCTCTCCTACCTTAATTAAAAGAAATTTATTTTAGATTAAAATATTTTTAATTTATATAATATTACTTACTTTACTTTTTAATTTTCATAACTTAAAATAATTTTTAACTTTTATGCTTCTTTTTAAAAAAAATTTAGTCTTTATAATTTAGTATAGATATTTTAGTTCCTAAACTTGTAATTTTATAATTTATTTACTCTCTATCATTTTTTCTTTTATATTTAAAGTTGATGTGTTTTTCAGCGTACGTAGGTGCGCGTGCGGAGTAGGCTAATGTTTTCAGCGTAGACAGCTATAAGAAACCCTTGGTTACTACAACTACTCAGTAATCGGTGTGAGCCAAGCTCCCCTTGACGCGTGTAAGCCACTCCACACATGTATGGCTCCGTTTGGCTTTTCCAGGAAAAGGGAGGGCAAAGTAAAATACCAAAGGAAAAAGGGGCACTCACCACAAATCCCATACTAAAATTAAAATATGCTTTAGTTACTTTCACACTAATATTATTATTATAAGCAAACTTTCACACCAATTTTCTGCAACAAATTAAAAGTATAGCATCCGTTGTTGAGTAAGTACTTGGTCCAAATTCTAAATTTGGATCCCTCATTGAGAATTATTATTATTATAGTCATTGTAGAGCATCCTAGTTAAGATTTGAGATATAATGAATAATAATTATGTGGAAAAAGTGAATAGGGGAAGAGAAGTGGATCTTACATTGAGGGTGCGTTGAATGAATTTGGCTCTCTTCTTGGGTCTCTGAGGCAGTTTTGAGCCTTTAATGGCGAGAAAATCTTCTTCCTTCTCCTTGTTGGTCAAGGCAATCACGAACTTGGGTGGCCACACCGGCGGAGCCGCCTCCCCGCTGCCGGACGGCGACCCTCCCTTCTTGCTATCGTGCGCGGTGTCCGACGAGGCTGCGGACTTGTTATTGTCATTAAGGTGGTTGTTATGGGTCCCCCTCTTATCGTGCGCACCCCTGTTCGGTGAGGCAATTCCCCTAACACCCCCGTTGCTTTGTCCTCCTCTCATGGCACTTGAATTTTCTCAGTTCCTAAATTGCAAACCAAAAATTAAAAACACAACCCACAACCCACACGTAATTATCCTATCCTATGTGTCTTTCTTAATCGTAAGAACGTGAATCACATCATAAATAGCGCAATTGAGAGGTGGGTTATTTTAGACTTTAGAGTAAAAAATAAAATATATATGCATATCAAAAGTAACTAGGGAGTGGTAAGTTTACGGAATTAACCTTGGGGTTTGATCTAGATCTAAGGGTGGGAGAAGCTCGAATCTAGACTGGTTTTTTTTTTGCGTAAAATAAGGGCTGGTTTTTGGCTCCTCTCGGCACTTTGTAATTTGTGTTTTGCTTTCTAGGAGGAGGATAGTTAATTTATTAGAAAAGAAAGAAAAAAAAAGTGTGCGATTCAGATTCCCTGTAACGAACACAGCCAGTTCCACGGTGGGATTGGAACCGTTGGATTTAGAGGAGTTTTATTAGGTAATACGTGTTCGAATATTAAAGGAGACGAGCCAGATCTACGATCCGATCCCTCTATCCGACGGCCCTAATGGAAAACCACTTTTCCTCAACACGTGAAAGGAATCTGTCCATTCCATGTTTCAACTAGTAACTAGTAATTTCATGCTGCTTCTAGTTCCGCATCCAGAAGCTGCAAATGGCCTCTCATCTAAATGCTAACAACACAAAACCATGAAATTCAATTTCTCAATAGATAAAATACCAGGCGGTTATTTCCATAATCTATACTTGTTTTTACAAATGGAAAACTCACCAAATATATATAGAAAATATGTCAACGACAAAAGTATTCACGAACATCAACCTAAATCTGCTAAGAAAGCTCAAATTCCCCGTTTGACGTCAGAAGGAAGGTTTAGATTACCATGTTAACCTGATTTAGCTTATCAGACTTGCCAATTGCTACCAATTATTCCAAGTTAAAATGTAAAGCAACGCTTATGAACTATTTTAATTAAAAATTAACTAGACCCCTACTACTTAAGTAATTGAGGACATAAAAAGTTAATGATCCAACCAATTAAGCTAGAATCATCGCCCAACTCTTATGTCCTCTTTTATGTTAATCCAAACTTGGAAGCCAAATTTACAACCTATAATCTATAATGAGATATTATTCCCGTCTTAGTCATAATGATATCTTCAAAAGACAATTGAGGGGAGTAAAGATGGGGATCTCATGCACTTACCATGAGTTCCTCTTCATTCTTTAATTTGGATGAGACTTCTGCAAGGATCTGCCTAATTAGAAAGTGGACAAAATATAAGCCTTATTCATGTATTGAGCCCAAATGAGATTTTGAAGAAAAAAATTCATTTGACTTGTCGCCCAAATTTAACAAGTGACATTTGATGCTTAAGATTCTTTGCCTGACATATGTTACTTACAAGTTGCCTTCAATGCGAACAAAATTTCGTTGCAGACATGGCATGGCACTAAACGAATTGAAAAACGCTGGCAAATATGAGGATGGATGGATAGTTCCACAATTCACTACACTTTTGACTCCTGCCAATGGCCATGCACACTATGCTTTTTTATGCTACTTTTGTTTTTATTGTATCACTACTTCCACACACCAACACTTTTTTTTTTTTTTTTCCAATGAGTTCATTAGATATTAGACACAAACCATGTGTTGCTACTTGGTTCAAATTATATCTACAGTAATCTTGTCGTCGCTAAGAAATTTTTTTTTTTTTTTCTGAAAAAATACGTGTACCACCAACATGAACCGTCCTCAAGATAGGTATGGATACTTAACAAGATAAGAGAAAAATAAAGGAAACAAGATTAAGATTTAATTTAATTTAAGTAACAATTTAAAAAGTTTCCAAAGAAAACACAAAAATCTTGTTTTCCCCCTATTTTTGGGTATAAAATCCAGAATCTTGCCAAATTGCCCTCATCTCAGATCTAATATAAACCCATGGGGTAACCTATCTATCTCAATTCTCATCTCAGTCTAGGTCTCTCGCAATCAGAATGAATAAAAACTAAAGATTAAATCATAATATTTCATTTAATTTATGTATAGAGCAAGAGAGAGAAAGAAAGTGAATACTTGAGAATTCGTGGTTGCGGCAAAGACGGACGTTGTTGAAGATTTGGATACCCGTTACTTTGATGGTGATTATTATGAATGTGTCCAACTCCAAGGTTGTTATTATTGACACCGAACGTGGACTTATTTAAAGAATTCTTATCGGTTCTAGCGACCCGACGATCCACCCGAACCCGAACCATTGTCCTTTGAACTGGGTTGGAAACATCATCCTTGGCCTGCACCTTAGCCGCTTCTGATTCCCCCACTGCAACACCAAATCTAATGTTGTTGCTTGCCTTGTGCTATAGAAACTCGCCCTCAACAACAACGACCCATCCCCTCCACTTTTCTCTATAACACTTGACACCATGTTGTTATTACTCCGAATAATCAACTCTTCCTCCATCTCCTCGCCTACCATCATCATCATTCAAAACATTAATTAAAAATACTGACACATTTTTATAGAAATTGGATTTTTGGTCTTCCACAACAACAAGGGACACAACCACTATGGTAACAAGGATGTGTGCATCGAACGGTCCATGGATTCTACAAATTAAAAAAAAAAAGGGAATTGTGCAGCGGGTGTGAAGACAATTTCGAGAGGGAGAACCAGAGACTTTCAAAATATTTTGTTAAGAGCTAAGACAATGTGAAAACGAAGGATCAATTGCCTCGATTAAACTGCTCTTGAAAGGCTCGTCTTTTCTTTTCAAAGCCACACTGGTATTGTATTATGAGCACCAAAAATATGAGTTAGGGGAAAAGATCCAGAAAAAATTGTAAGGAGGCATGAAAATCAATGTGCTATACCTTGAAAAATTAACACTCATCCAACAACCAATTTTTTTGAAACAAAGGGGAAAGGACCCGATTTTTTTTATTTCCTGCAAGAAACGAAGAAGCCGAGAGAAATTAGAGAATAATAGCCAACAACAAATAACATCAAAACTGAATTGGAATCTGCAAGGTTGCGATGACAATCGATTATGAAGTTCTAATTTTGATAAAGTATGTTTGAGTTTCTCTCACCTAAATCTGGTTCTGCTAAAACTCCGTTCAACATGGGAAAACTGGAGTGGTGTTCGGATTTAAGTTCTGAAGCTATGGAAAATGCAAATCTATTTTGAAAATTCAACTAATAATGACATTTCGGAACTTGTGTCGGCGACGATGGCTATGAACTCAGGGAAGCAACGATCGTCCCTGTGGCACAAATTCATAGTTCCAAAATCTGCCTTTTTTTACTCTGCAAAAAAAATAAATGAATAAAAATAACTTAGAAGAGAAGACCGACGCCAAAGGGAAAATGGAAATAGAGGAAAATATTATTTTTCCAACCTCTGCTAGAGGAAAATGGACAAAACAGAAACTCTGACTCTCTTGTTTTCCAAGCTGGAAATCTTATGCGCCTCTTTAAAACCACAATGAACCAAGGAAACGAAATTCACTTGAAAATTTCAACAAAGTCCGACAAATACTCTTCGAACATGCATTTGCAAACAAAATGAAGCAAAAATATTAAAAAATAATTTGCATAGAAACAGGCTCCAAAAGGAGAAGAAAGATGTGTAAATGGTAGACCTCATTCTTTGTGAAAAAAAATGTCAGATCCTCAACATTAAAGTTTGGGTTATGAGAATTGGAGAGCGGCAGAAAGTTGTGGAGAGAAGAGTAGAAAGGGTTATGATAAAACGAAATGGTGTGTTTCCATTGAAGAGAATGACATTATATATATATATATATATATTCCTTTGCACCAACCGTCCACTTTCAGAGTTGATGATGGTAGATGAATAATTATTAGGTCAAAAAAATCTTCAATCCATCGAACTTCCAATAATGATAATAAATATAATATTTTTTAAAAGAAAAACTATTTTTATAAAATACAAAATCAGACGAAATATAAAACACAAAATTTTAGATAAATGATATGTTGTGAGATGAAACATATGCTCTTATTTTATAAAATCTTAAATACATATTTCTTTCATTTTTTTTATAGTTATTTTGTCAAATTTTGTTATTTTTTTTATTATCACTTTCTTAAAATTAATGACTTGTTAATTTTTTTATTTTTATTCTTGATAATTAATGCATGTTTACTGAAATGAATAATGATTATTTGGTACATGACTAATCAATTCCTTAACATATTGAATAAAGAAAATTTATTCGAACTCATAAATACGTGAAAGTGAATAAAGTCATGTTATACACAATAAATAAGAACAGATAAATCCCCAAAATTATTGAGAAAGTTAGTAAAAGAGGACAATTTGATATCTTAAAATTAATAAATAACCTCCTTGATTAGAAAAAAAAATGATAATTTGGTGAAATGTAATTAATGCAAACATTTAATCCTTCAATTGACAAGTGTCATCCCAAGGGACTCATAATGAAGATGGATAAAACAAACTTGTAGGGAACTTTCAAGGTTTTGCAACAATCATTTTCATTCAAGCTACTGTATAAGGAAACTTAAGAAAAAAAATGAAGAATTTTTATACAAATTATTATTCTTTTTTTTGGAAAAATATTGTTTTCAATTGGTTTATCACATCTTGTCTATAAGATAAAACAATATCTTTAAGATTTTCGAGTTGAACTTGTAGGGATTTATTTGTTAAAAGAATACTCATTTGAACTTGGAAAAGTTTGTTGGTAAAATAATACTTGGTTGAATCTATAAGTGATTTGTTGAAAAAGTACTTATAACTTTTTTTAAGATAATTAAATTTAATATAGTTGAATTAAGAACTAAACATAGTATTAATAGTTGAGATAAACTAATATAAAAATTATTGAGTGATTTGTCTACCTCTTCTCTTACACTTTTTGCTATTAGTGTTATTACTTCACTATTAAAAAAGTGTTAATATTTTATAAAGACTATTTAACCTTTTATTCTAATGTATGTCTTTTCTTCACAATAATTTCTCACCTTTCTTCTTTTCTCCCTCTAACCATCCTCCTGATTAAAAGTCTTACAAAATCTTAAAACTCATGAAAATCCTGCAAAGTCTTTTAAAATTCACAAGATTTTTTTTAACTAAAAAAGTCCTTTAAATAAATAAACAAATATAACAAAAAAAACTAAAAAAAAAAGGTAATATAAAAAATTACATTACCTTTATACATTTAATTATGTTAAACTTCAATCTAAATTTTATCAATTCACATTTGTTAAAATTAAAAAAAGAAAAATCAATTCAAATAACGACATTTGTTTCATTCTACCACTCCACGCACACATACTGATTACATCACTTTAATTTCTACCTTCCATTGGCACAAGGTAACCAAATTGAGAAATAGATAGAAAAACCTTAGCAAGTAACAAAGACAAACAATAATTAGAAAGAAATGAAACGAGAAATTGATTTGAAAAGTAGAGAAGCAAAAGTAATTCGTAACATCACTTTAATTTGTACCTTCCATAAACACAACGTCACCAAAGTGAGGAATCGTAATATCCATTTCCATCGGTTGTTGCACCACATTAAAAGAACATCAAAACAAAAAGAAAAACCTAGTGCAAAACAAAGACAAAAAAGAATTAAAAAAAATGAAACAAGAATAAAAAAGAAATCATACAAGAAATTGACATGAAATGCAAAGAAGCAAATGCAGTTCATAACATCACTTTAATTTCTACCTTTCACTAGTACAATGTCACCGACGTGAGGAACCATAATATCCATATTCACTAGTTGTTGCACCTCACAAAAAGAACATCAAAACAACAAGAAAAATTCCAATACATAAAATCTCTTTTTGGATGAGGGAAAAATGTAATGTATGTGAGCCAATTAGGCATAAAAAGAAAAGGAAGGAATAAAAGGGAACTTACACAAAGCTTGGTCTTGATCAAGTCTATGGGGAAGTTGTAGTCTCAGCCACCATAACTGAGAGTGATGTTAGAAAAATATTTGTGAGAGCAATATCAACTCCTCCATGTTGATAGCCATTTCACAGGTGCAATCAAGAAAAAATTAACTCACCACAAGGCTGTTCAAGGAAACCAGGAACCACTGAAACTTATGTGCCAAATGATATCTTTTGGCTGCAATAATCTCTTCAAATTGAGAAGTCTAATACCGATCAAAAACCCAATTGCCAACAAATTTTATTAGGAATATAGAGTTTATATACCTAATTCTTATTTGACAAGTTTGTATGCTCTTGAATGAACAAAAATATAAACAAAATACCATCTTTTTTTATGTTGATGAATAAAAAATATTCTCTCCCTGAATTAAGAGACAATTATAACATATAAATTGAGTAAAGATAATTCATGGACATCTAAAACAACACTGCTGATTGGCAAGAAATGCACACATAAGCATAAACACAAGGACATCGATAGAGATACACACATATAGAACACATACACTAAGCAAACAGAAACATAGAGACAATGAACACACACAAATACAAGCACAAAGAATGAGAGATACACACTCATAGAGACACGACTCACCTCCCATAAATGAGATAGAAGTGGCAGGACAATCGACTTTGAATAAGAATTGCCTGGAAACCCAAAAAATTCAACATTATGGGAAGGCAATGGTACAATACCTATTTTTCCTCTTGGTTGAATACTTGCAAGGTCTTCGCTGCCAACATCATCAAGACCTAGCCTGTTATTTAAATAAAAGCTACTTGTCACACTTCTACCATTAGATGACTCATTGGACTAGATAGTGAAGACTTACTTGGTAAAGAAGGAATATGCAATTGCTTCATCAACAATTAAATTGGAAGAAGAGTGACTTCTGAACAATGTCAAAACACAGATAAAAAATTTAATTAAGATTAATTTATTAACCTTCTTCAACTATTTATTTGCGGTATTGCACAGGAAATATTATGAACTAAATCTGAAAAAAAAATTATTTCCAACATAATGCCCAAGAACTCAAAGCTGAAACGGAGAGAGTCCAATTGGAGTTTTATATGTTGTCCTGTAAGCCCACAGTGTATCATCTAACTTCAAAGCCCAATCTTTCCTTGAACTGGCTATAGTCTTCTCCAAGATTTTTTTTAACTTCCTATTAGAAACCTCTGCTTGCCGACTTGTTTGAGGATGGTAAGGTGTAGCTACTTTGTGTCTCACACCATAATGCTCTAACACCTTCTTCAGTTGTGTATTGCAGAAATAGGAACCACCATCACTAATGAGCACTCTCGGTGTTCCAAATCTGGTAAAGATATTATTCTTTAAGAACTTGATCAACGTACGTGCATCAACCTTCTGAGTTGTTATGGCTTCCACCCATTTAGAAACATAATCCACAGCAACAAGAATGTACTCATTAGAGAAGGAAGATGGAAGTGACCCTACAAAGTCAATTCCCCAGCAATCAAAAACCTCAACTTCAAGAATATTCTGCAAGGGTAGCTCATGTCTTTTAGATCTTCCTCCAGTTCTCTGGCACTTGTCACAATTTTTGTAGTGTTCATGAGAATCTTTAAATATGGTAGGCCAATAGAATCCGGACTGAAGAATTTTTGCTGTTGTGCGATCTCCATTGTAGTGACCTCCATAAGGTGAATTGTGGCAGTGCCACAAAATATCCTTAACTTCTGCACCTGAAACACATCTTCTCAACAAACCATCAACACCAATCTTGAATAAATAAGGATCATCCTACACATAGTAAGTGGAATCCTTGAAGAATTTCTTTCTCTATTGCCAATTGAGATCTTTTGTAATAACTCCAGCTGCCTTGAAATTTGCCATATCAGCAAACCAAGGTCTTTCTTGTACAGAGAATAATTTTTCATTTGGAAATTCCTCATGGATTGCACCTTCAAGTATGGTCACCTATTCATTCTCTAGTCTTGACAAATGATCAACAATGTGGTTTTCACAACCTTTCTTTTCTTTGATTTCTAAGTCAAATTCCTGTAACAAGAGAAACCATCTTATTAGCCTTGGTTTTGAATCAGATTTGGTCAACAAATATTTAATGGCTGCATGGTTAGTGAACACAATAATTTTTGAACCAATTAAATAAGAACGAAATTTCTCAAGTGCATACACTATTGCAAGTAGTTTTTTTTTTTTTTTTTTTTTTTTCTGTTGTTGCATAATTCATTTGAGTTTCATTCAAAACCTTTCTTGCATAGTGTATGACATGAAAAATCTTATTTTTCCTTTGACCTAGAACAGTACCTACTGCATAGTCACTAGCATCACACATTAGTTCAAAATCAAAATTCCAATCAGGGCTAGTGATTACGGGTGTTGAACATAATTTTTGTTTTAATAATGAAAAAGCAGACAAGCAATTATCATCAAATTAAAATTTAGCATCTTTCACAAGGAGATTACTAAGCAGTTTAGCGATCTTTGAAAAGTCTTGAATGAACTGCCTATAGAATCCAGCATGTCCCATAAAGCTTCTGACTCCTTTCACATTTGTTGGTGGAGGAAGCTTAGAGATGACCTCAACTTTGGTTGGATCCACCCCAATGCCTCTTCTGAAATCTTATGGCCAAGCACTATTCCTTAAGTTACCATGAAATGGAATTTTTCCCAATTAAGAACCAAGTTTGTTTCAACACACCGCCTCAGTACAGTGTTTAGATTCTCCAGACATGTATCAAATGATGCTCCAAACACAGAAAAATCGTCCATGAAAACCTCTATACATTTCTCAACAAGATTAGAAAATATGGCTAGCATACACCTCTGAAATGTAGCTGGAGCGTTACATAGTCCAAATGGTATCTTCTTGTATGCAAAAACACCAAAAGGACATGTGAATGTTGTCTTCTCTTGGTCCTTCGGATCCACTGTTATCTGATTGTACCCAGAATAACCATCCAAGAAGCAGTAGTAAGCCTGACCAGCCAACCTCTCTAACATCTAGTCCATGAAGGGTAATGGGAAATGATCTTTCCTTGTTGCCTGATTCAGCTTCCGATAATCTATACACATTCGCCAACCATTGACTGTCCTTGTAGGAATTAATTCATTCTTATCATTCATCACCACTATCATGCCTCTTTTCTTAGGAACCACTTGAACAGGGCTAACCCAGGCACTATCGGAGATAGGATAGATCATGCCATCTTCAAGTAACTTAACCACCTCTTTTTCTGACCACCTCCTTCATTGTTGGATTAAGGCGCCTTTGAGGTTGTGCTACAGGCTTATATTCATGTTCCATTAAGATCCGATGCATGCAATATGAAGGACTAATACCCTTTAGATCAGACAAAGTCCACCTAATAGCTCCTTTATTCGCCTTTAGAACCTCAACCAACTTCTTTTCCTCCTCCACTGATAAGGAACTGCTGATTATGACTGGCTTGCCACCATTTTCTTCTAAAAACACATATTTAAGATGGCTTGGCAATTGTTTCAGTTCTGGCTTTTGAGTGTGAGACTTTTCTTCCTTCTTTAAATCTTGCACACTTGTAGAATTAGGAGAAATCCCCTTTTCTTTGTCCAACTCTTCCAAACATTTCTGAATTTCTTTTTCCTCCTCCTCATTGGTATCAATTACTGCATTCACCAATGTTTTTTCTAATGGTGTAGTTGAAGAAATTTTTCTTTGAGCTTCCAAACACACTTCATCAATCACAACCACTCTAAAGCAACCTGTCTTATCATTTGGGTGTTTCATGGCTTTAAAAACATTAAAATTCACCTCATCATCCTGCACTCTAACCTTGAGTTTGCCATCAATAAAGGAAATATCTATATAGCATTTATATTTATATTTATACTCCACTAATATATTTCAAAATTAAAAAAACATATATCTATATTTATATTTATAACATTAATTAATAAAGGAAATATCTTAATTCAGTATCCATTTTTTTTTTACTTTTTTACCAATTGCCTTTATATATCCCAACTAATTTTTTTAATTATCTAACTATTCTAAAATTAATGATAGATTTTATAATCATTCTTTTTATTTATTTTTCCATTTTATTTTATAACGGTACACGAGTATCTCGTTTTCACTAGACATTAATAAAGGTGATATAAATTTTTCATGTACACATTTTTGTTGAATGCTTTACCTTTAACTTTTAGAACACTTTCTCTCTCATATTTTTTATTTTTATTTTTATTTTTATTTTTATTTATTCTTGTATAAATTTATTTCTCAAACTTTTTTTTTTGTTTGATTTACAAGGGAAAAAATTAAAAGTTAAATTACTTTTTGTATCCTTGTAATTTTATACTAATGAAAATGAAACACTCCATGTCTCACCATAAAAAAATGATAAAAAATAAAAATGATAAAATTAAATATGTGTATGGTTAATTTTAGAATAGTGAAACAATTAAACAAATTATTTAAGGAAGAGTTGACCCTTTTCGTGTCTTTAATAAATATAAATACACAGAATATCAAGAGATTGCGTGTAATTATTCAAAGAAAATATAAAAAAGTTTTTTTTTACATCAAAGAAATATAATGACTCACTAAAAAGTTGAGACAAAAAATGATTATATACTTATACTATTTCTTTTATAATATATATAAATTATAAATTTAAAAGGATAAAAAAAAGAATATTTTAAACATTATACTAAAAATATTTAAAAATTCTTTCATTCCCTTTAAATTTTTTTCACTCTCTTTCAAATTCTTCCAATATTAAAAGAGACTTAAAATTAGATTAGGAAATGTTTTACTCCCTTTCATTTTTTTTCTTTTTAAAAATTAAATTAAACAATAAAAATTTATAAAAAATTCCTCCCTTTTATTTGTTTCTAATCAAAGTCTATCTTATATTTCTCTGATTCAAAAAAATATGAATATAAAAAACTAAAGGTATATTTTATCAACAATTTGTGAGTAACTTTTTTCACAAATTAAATATATTTCTAATATTTGAACTTTTGTAAATTTTATTTGTATTATATAAATTTTATTTAATTTTCGTCTTAAAATTTTTTTTACATGAACAATTTTTTTTTGACACTAAAGATCAAAAAATTATAAAAAATGAATAAATAAAACTTGACAAAAATTTAAAGATTAAAATTAATAAATTTTCATATACTTAAAAATAAAAATAGATAAAATAAAATAAATTCATGAAATAAAAATCGAAGAAGTATTTAAGCCAACCCTTATTTAAATTGGGCATCACAATCGAGAGAAAACTCTGATTCTTATGATTCTACAGAGTAGTACTCGACTTGCTGCACTTGCCTACTCCGTTTGCGCTCGCATCCAAGACAAGAGTGCCAATCGTTCTTCTGGTATTCATTTTCACTCAACCCTTCCTCTACACTGCACTCCAAGGTAACCTAACCTCCAATCCTTTCAATTTCATTTTTTCGTTCTGTTCTGTATTCACCCTTTCCGCTTTTCTAAATCGCTCTTTTAGAAACAAATGCATACACCGTTAGGGTTTGGATGGCAACTGTTTTTCTCCGTTTGATGGAATTGGACGCGAACGTTTGTATTTTTTTTTTCCTCCGATACTAAGCCAATATACAGTCTCAGTTTCACTCCCGTCTCTTTTGTCATTTGTATAGTTTCGTGCCTGTGATAGTGTTCTTATGTGTATACCCTGGGTTTATTGCGTTCCAACTATTTATTGATAATGCTTTTGAATGCAGGTTAACTGTTTGTGATGGAGGACGGGGATACCATTCTGGATGCCATATTCGAGGGGGACAACTTAGATGATTTGGATGACGACGTTGACATGGTTGATGTTGAAGAAGGAGAGTTAGTGGAGCCTGAAACCCAAAATGATTTGGAACAAAGCAGTGCTGGAGATATCAATGAAGCAAATCAAGAACCTCAGAGTAAAAACCGCAAGCGTAGAGCTAACAAGAAGAAGAATAAGAAGAAGAGGAAGGGTTCGGTATCTAACGCCATGGACATAGACAGGTTTAACATTCTGCTCAATTTGAGTTTTGAAAGGAATTTTCATGTTGGCTAAATATGATTTACGTGCTTAAACTTTAGTTAGTCTATGCGTGTTTTATCCCCTAACTTTTGAGGTGTAGTAGAATGTCACAAAATTTATTAGTCGAGCTAAGAATCCCTTATTCACAAATGTCATCCATATAAATGACACCAAAAAGACAATGTTTCAATATATCTCATCCAATTTCAAAGCTCTTTGCATGACGTCCAAGACCAAATCACCAGCTCAGCAACAATAATAACATCCAGTTCCAATCCCTTCAGCCTTCCATTTTTTCAGTTGTTTTGCTCACACTTTGTCCAAGATTTTTGTCTCATTTTGTTTCAACGTTGTGTGCGTGTTATATATATATAGCATCAGTGATGGTAACATAATTATTATTAGAATCATACGATTCACTATTCGAATCCTACTATTCAATACAATTTGACTACCTATTAATTTGTATGATAAGATGATTCTCAAATGATTTGGTATCTTTCAATACATAAATGAATTTGTGTATTTTCGTAATATCAACCCAATTCAGCAATTTTTTTATTTTTTATTTTTTATTTTTTATTTTTTAACTTTTCTTTTGCCAATTCTCATGAAAGAAATTGAAAAGTCATATAAACTTAAGTTATTAAATAAATCGGAGTTGAAGGAACACTTTTGAACTTATCCTATTTGATTATTCCATTACTGTATTTGTCTCTCATTCGTTCAATATGCGGCTATTTCAATGTTGCATTTCCATTATAAGCTTCACAAACTCTAATAACCAATAATTTTTTTTATGAGACTTATGGTTAAGCTGTCTTTATCTATTTCTAGTTTAGAATTATTACTTTAACACTATAAATCACCTATATTATATATTTGTAGTTATTTTTCATTGTTTCTGAATCTTGCAATTTGGTAGAAATTATTATTCATGATTCAAAAATTAGGTTGACATTTCTTTATTTGAATCTAAATTTTATAACCTTGGATGGTAAGGCCAAGGGGAAAGGCATGGATTTGGAAGAGGTTGAGCTTCTTTTGGTGTGGTGCTCACCAAGGAAGTACCAAACCCCAAAATTTGGGAACTGCAGTTCAGATTAGAGTTGACAATGTACTTGTACATAAAAGTTACTTTACTAGTTTATGTGGTTCATTACATTTATTGTATAGGATGATTTGGTTCATAATTATTTATTGATTTTATGATTGTCTTTTGCTTTGATAACAATTCCATGTGTGATAAAAACCTAGGGTGAATCACTTCAGAAAAGCTAGTCATTGTAGTTAGAGAGCTGAAAAAGCCTTATAAATCCCACATTAGAATCCCGTAATTCCAATGTGAGACTTATGTTCATACCTGGCAATTTGATGCTAACATCTCTCCACGCTCCACATCCCTGGAGCCCACTCAGGCTTGCTATGCACCAGCTGCTGACTTGTCTCAAGTGAACATTGCAATACCAGTATTATCATCTGTGCTGCTCATTTACAATTGAGACATAGTGGAAGGTTTTGATACAAATAGATAAAAACCTTGGGAGAACCACACCACAAAATATAACCATTATAGTTGAATAGTCCAGGGCCTTATTTACAATTGAGACATGGTGGAAGGTCTTGATACAAATTGATAAAAACCTTGGGAGAACCACACCACAAAATCTAGCAGTTATAGTTGGATAGTCTAGGGAATTATTTACAATTGAGACATGGTGGAATGTTTTGATACAAATTGATAAAAACCCTGGCAGAACCACACCACAAAATCTAGCCTTTATGGTTGGATAGTTCAGGGCCCTATAAACTCTGCACTACAACCCCATACTTACAATGAGGGAACCAAGTCTCATACCTTGCAAATGGATTTTAAGTTCCTAAGATATTGTTTTCAGACCATATAAATAAACATGGTAAAGTATCAGCAGTTTATTGGTGTAGCCCTATTGGCATTACTGATGGCTTGATAAACTTGTTTACCTTTGTAACCCAATAGAATTTGGAATCCCAAAATTAAGGATGGATAGATTCATAATTATTTATTATTTTTATGATTGTCTTTTGCTTTAATAGCAATTCCACAGTTATTCAAATCATGCAAGTTCTATTAGCTAACATGGAAAAGTATCTGTCTTTTATTTGGTGTCGCCAAAAAAGTATTACTGAAGGCTTGATAAATTCATTTACCTTTGTGACTGAATACAATTTGGAATTCTAATATTAAGTATTCAAGAGTTATGTATTTGTTTTTCCTTTTGCGCAGTCAAAAAATTAAATGCAGCATTGCTTATTGTTCATTTGTTATCATAACTATATAGTATATACAATCCTCAACCCTGTATGAATGTAATATGGATATTAGGTTGTTTATCTGTTTGTACCTTTAACAATTTTTTAGCAGCCTTCCTGTCCATATGATTAAACTTGTAACAAATTGTGTGTTTTTCAGATTTGTGTTAGATACTTGTCGACGGCTTAAAGAGAAAAAGACATACATGGTATACACTGCTGTAGGTTGCCTTGGGGTCTCTGCATTAAGCGATCTCATCAAAGAGGTATTGAAACCCTGCCATGCACTCATTTTTGGTTTAATAAGCCAGCTTATGTGTACGTTAGTATCTCTTTTAGGTTTTCTATGAAATACCATGGCCACCTGGAAGTTGGAAAACAATTTAAGAACAACCCAATGATATTGCTGTCATATGACTTGAATAATATTGATATTTGATATTAGTGTTTAATGACTGGTATGATACTATCTGCCCACAAGATATGCCAAGCCAAGGATTTAGAGTGTTTTTGGTTTGCCTCTTTCTCACTTCCCAAACCACATTCAACAGAAATCTACCTCTCACATGTCATTCACGCTGAATGGAACTGGACGAGAAATCAAACACCTTTATTTTGATTGCTTTCCCATACTGGAATTTGCTGCCCTTGCATCTTGTCTCAGTTCCTACAAGTTGTTTCTGTCCTCCTTACTTTGATTCATAACCCTGAATTCTTCCCTTTTTTTTCCCCTTTATATTTAAGTTTTTGTTTCTAAGATTGATTGTCTATGATGGTTTTAGTTTGATGGGATCACTGAGTTAAGGCTGCACTGTTGTGATGATCTTTATCTGTCTTATTATACTAGCCACTTAAACTCCTCATGTGGTGGTTTCCACAGCCTTGGTTCTAATCTTACTAATGTTGTTGGGTTAACAAGGTCCTATTGCTGCTTTCTGAATATTCCCAATCTTGGCTTCACTCACTGGCTTAATGGTCTTCTCTGTTATTTCCCATTCGAATGCACATTTTTTTTCCTTTTGTAAACGGGAATGTGCTTATGCTTGGGAGCAGATATTTGCTCACTTGTAGGGTTAAAAGTCTACAAGATTTGGACGAGCCTTGAGCTGGTTATTCTCTGATGTGTGCAATTTTGTCCCTAACCTTACAGATTTTTTTTCCGGATGCTAGTTTGCTCCTTCCAACCCTCTGCTTGAGCTTTGATGTTCCTGGCCGATCCACTTCATTATTTACTAGTTGTGGAGGTTGATGTCAATATATGTTGCTTCATTTTGTCAATTGTGCATACATGGAAAATGTTTTCTCTTTCTGGCCACATAGCCAATTTACTAAGCATGTGCATTGTTGTGCTCTTCAAGGGGAAACTAATGATTATCAATTGCCTGTTAGTTTAAGGTTAAAAAGTTTATTCTATGATGCAATTTCTTTTAGAGCTTTTGTTCAGAAGCTATTTTTTTGGCTTCTGAAAATAAAGGCACCAAAATAACTAAAGAAGTGTTTTAATTAATGGAAACGTCTTTTCTTTAAAGATAAAGTAGTAAAGCACAGACAAACAGCCATTAGTCATGCTTGTTCATTACAATGATCTCTTAGACATGATCTCTGTTTTTTAACATTTTAACATTATTTTCCCTTTTTGTTTAATTAAATTGTATCGCCAAATAAACATTAAGAGCCATTGTTGATTTGTTGGTACTATTATGATATTAGATTTAGAGCCTGTTTGGATCTGTGAAGCACCACACTGACACTTGACATGGCACTGACACGGACACTTCAACATGGCTAAAGTGTAAGTGTAAAACATAAGACATGGGGGATACGACATTTGGTGTGTGTATTATAAAAATTACTAAATTGATCATCATTTGGTAATTAAGAGGCATCGTTATCATTGAAAAGAAAATTCCACAATACTAGAACTTTGTCACTTTACATAAAAAATTTATTAAAAACATGCTAATATCTTTAATAAAGATATATTTAAAAAGGGAAATAGGAAATTTATTTATTACAATTCTATTTTTAATTTATTGGTAAAAAAAAGGTGACTGTGTTCAGCCATTTAAGGTTTGTCTGAGCCGTGTCAAAGTTGGAAAAAAAAACATAAGACACTGGAAAATTGTACCTGACACATGTCCATGGCATGTCGGCAGTCAGTATTGAAACCTCTATTGCTAGGCGTGTCAGTGCTTTTTAGGTTTGGATATAAGCTAGAAAAGTTTTTGACAGCTTCTTTACTGAAAATAAAGAGTTATTTCCGATAAAGAAGCTTTTAAAAACACTTATAAACTTGTATCCAATCAAGTACTAAATATGCTTAAATTATGAAAATATTCTATTTGATGGAGCAAGTTTAGTTTAACTGGGTCTACCCTAAAGCCTAAATGTGGGCTAATCACACTGAAAGTTGTATTTAACTGTGCATCTAGTTTTTTTTTATGGAAAATCCTTTGACACTTCAGAAATCTTTGGCTTTACCGTGCTAGGATTTTCGCACTAACGTAGCATTATCAATTATTAGGACTGGTAACTTATTGGTTGCAGTTTTGCAATATTATATAACCAATAATTTTATCAGTTACTGTGTTTCTTCTTTTTCTATTTGACTTGATGACTTTGGTGTTGTATTGTGGTTTGCTCGCACATTTTGTTCCTCTACTATGGCTAATTTTTGTCACCTAGTGAATTTAATCTTTTCAAATTTTCAATTGCTACAATTAAGTTCTTTCATTAGTTTCTGATAATTTTGGTGTTATATTTTATTATATATACCTTGTGCTTTGCATAGAATCACTATTTGCATATTATGTATCAATGAGATTTTTTTACTTCAATTTCAGACCAAAAGGGACCTATATTTGTTCCTTTTGTTTGGTTATATTCTAATCTGGTCAAGTTGATACATTGTATACTTGTATAATGATGTGTGAAAGTTGCAGGTGGATGCAATACAGGTTTGTGGAGGCCAGAAAACTGCTGATGGTAGACGATTCCGGAATGGGGGTGGCATATTGTGGAGCATCTTAAAAGTTAGGGAACCAAATGTCTACAAAGAGATAATGAAAAAGGCAAGGGAGTTTGAGGTGTGTAATTTAACCTTTTTTTTGTGTGTTTAGGGTGTTGTATCAACTGTCTAGGACGGTAGGACCCTATTAAGTGGCAACAAATTTCAGGAATAACTTTGCCTTGCGAACAATTTTCAGATAGCAGGCGAATATTTTGGGATAATTTGTGATTGAGATTTTTTCAAAAAACATGCAAACAATTTGGGGGATAATTTTTTCTTGAGATATCTTTTAGTTTGCATTTAAATATTTATTTCAAACCTCTAACAACATTACTGAATTGTTTGGAGCAACCCCGTCCTTCAACTGTAATTAATTATGAGGAACCAACACTCTTCAAACTGTTCATTGTTTTGTAATAACTAGTTTTTTTTTTTTTTTTTTGGCCATTGTGCATCATGTTTATCATAATGCAGAAACAATTCAGGCAGCCTAATGTGAAGCAACGACCTGTGCTGAAGAAAGAGGATTCTTTTCAAGGAGTGCCCTTTTCATTTTCTGGCAGGGATAAAGACAATGTTTCGGACAGTGGTATTCTTGCATCCCAAATTCCAAATCAACATGAACCAGCAACTTCTGAAGAAAAACCTGTCTCTGTTCATGATAGGTTAAGGGTACCGGTATCATATGATGACGATCTGCTTGGACATAATCCAAACAATGAAGCAACCTGACTCTGGAAGTAAAGTGGCCTTATCACTTGACAAGTTTTTCTTCCCTCTTGGATGGAGGTTTACCGATATACCACATTCCCCTTCTTTTCCATTTCGTTCTCCCCGTACTTCTCGTTTTTATTTTTTCGCTTTTGTGAAACGAGATCTCGGTTGGAGCTTTGTTTCATTTTGATTTTTTATTGCTGAAGGAAATCTGGCATTTTTGTTTGAAAGAGGTCTTGATTTAATTTGCCTTTCTGCTTTCTAATGTAGTTATGAGGACAAAAATAAAAAACAAGAACCTAAAAATGGAAAGAAAGAAAAAGGATATTTACTGGTGGATGTGTTGTGATTCCGATTGGGTAATGTTGTCGCTAGTATTTGGCTAGTTAGTGCGTGCTTCCTTAATAGCAGTTTGTATTTATATAAATCAGTAATATTAAAAAAAGTAATTCTTATTATATTTAAGATCCATTTATCTAATTTAAAATTAAAAATTATTTAATTTAGTTGATAATAAATGTATTATCTATATGATTAGAATACATACTTTATACTATTTTTCTCTTTTAATTAGTATTCATTATTTTTTTCTATTATGTTAAGAGTGCATACTTTTAAAGAGTTTATAATTAATATATTTAATCAAATTAAGAAAACATTTTAATTAAAAATATTTAAATCAAAAAATAATCAATGAGGTTATATAAATTGGTTCATATATAAAAAAATAAATAATTATTTTAAATTGATACCATTGGCAAGAAATTAGTGTATGTCACGGTTAAAAGAAAAATTGTAATTAGTGTTACTATGAATCGCTGAACTTATGCCATATGGATATCTATTACTAACTGAACCCCTACCGTCCAGAATTTTCTGACTAAGCAGAGTTTGAGATTAATATTTTCCATACAATCGTAACATATTTTACGTATATAATCAGATGGCTTATATTAGTGATGAGCTGCATTGTTTGTATAGTAATCTTTTATAATATTTATTTTAATTTTTCTCTATTACATCGCCTTTTTATATTTCTCCTTTTAAAATTCTGTATGAACTTGTACAAAAGTAATCCATCTACTGAGATTACAATATAACATAAAAAAGCCTTGTTAATAATTATCAGAAAATACATGTGACATTGACTTGGTGTCACAATAAATCTGAAAAAGAGAGTTGTGTGGAAATAACTCTGCATTAAATGATATGATACGACATACGAGAAATACATGGATATTTATAAAGTGGAAGAGAGAAACCAGAGCAAACCAATAGAACCTCATATCAGCATTCTTTAACTTGATCCGTCATTTAACTTCCCAACTAACATACATCTGTCAAGTGATGTACCCAGACATAATAACTTTGTTCCCAAGAAAAAAAAAAGGGCCTTATCAGGGATTTCCACTTTTCACGGATAAGAGCTGTTGTTTCTTCTGGAAGAAGAGACAAACCACAGTGCAGTCATCAACCTTAGAAGAAGGATACTTGTGTTTCCATGCTGCGGTTGCTGCTTCCACTACTGCCCTTGCTGCTTCCCTTTCACTGTTTACCTCCCACACGATTGAGGAAACCTCCTTATTGCTTAATACATCCCATACCTAAATTAAAGCAGGAAAAGAAAAAAGTCAATAAGCAAATAAATCTTAAGATGCAAAATAAAACTATCTTAACTTAAACAAATAAAACATACCCCATCACTTGCAAGTACAATAAACTGGTCCTTGGATGTTAGAGTGAGAAACGAAATATCTGGGATGGCAATGATACCGTGGTCTTTGAGCATAAAATCTCCAAAAGCTCGAGACATGGCTAAACCTGGGGAGTTCTCATTAGGTAACCACACTCGCTGGATGTGTGGTTCTTCCTTTAGTGCAAATACACGGCCATTGCAACTTCTTATTCGATCCGCTTCGCCTGCATTTCAAAATATATATCACTTGGCGATATATGGAAATTAAAAAGCTACATCCAAGTAGTCATTAGAATAGGCTTACGAGGTAATCCAGGTTTCATATCTGTGGTCAATTGAACGGGTATGATTTCACCGTCACAGATTGTGCCCAAGACTGCTCTTGAATCACCAAGGTTAGCTATGACAAGATCTTCACCCTGTTAATTTATCCTTAAGGTTATTACTTATTATGCTTCCATGAAACAAATAGCAAAATCTGAGGGACAAAATATAAACAGTTTCACGGTTGGTTTACCTCTCTTATGACAACTACAGCAGTAGTTCCACTACAAGAGCAATCTAGATTCTCTTGCAGCTTCAACTCCTTGTCCATCACCCTGAAAGCGCCAATAATAGCTTCTTTCCATTCCTGAAAATTCTTATTTGGAGACGAATCTTCTTCAACCGTGTCCACATGGTTAAGGATGTTTTTATCATCACCCTTTTCCATCGTGTCAATCTTTCCATGCACGTTCTTTTGGTTCAGTATGAGTGAAGACAAACGGCTGTTTACTATTGTGCTCACTAAGTGACCGTTCCTTCCATGGCCATCGAAAACGCCGCAAAATGCTGCCTTTTCCTTCCCATAACCCTTATTACAATAATTTTTATACGCTTCATAGTAAGTATATATAGCTATACAATTTAGTTGAGGGTATTTGAACATAACAATTAAGTATTAACAAACATACATACCTGAGAAATAGTAGCAGCATCTTGGTTAAGTCCTTTGCTACCTTGTTTAGAGTAAGCAGAGCAAAGTCCCCGAGTCTCGCTTAGAACCTTGCTTGCTTTAAACACTATCACGTTTTCATCACGAGCTTCTTCAGGCGCTTCATGAATCGCTGAAGATTCAGAGGATATGCAGATACCCATTCCAACTTGGAGACTTTTCTCTTCTACTTTATTATATTCAAGAGATGAAATAAGTCTGACACTCACGAATTTAAGGACCGAATATATAGCAATCATTTGCAATTTAATAATTGGAGTCGCTTATGTAGTTCATTCTTGTGGGAAGCTTAAGCTTATGTAAACTCAATAATGGACGGTTTTTTAATGGTTATTTATTTAACTGGGATGTCCCAATGCTAGCTTTAAGGGACGTGTAAGGGTATTCTTCTATTGTTAATAATGTAATGGGTATGACCTTCTATATTTAAAATTAAGATCACTAACACTACGAGAGATTCTTACACACGGGCATAAACTATTATTTTGTTGAACTAGTCATGATGAGGTAGCATTTTAGGGAAAAAAATCAGTGTACAACTTGAAGTTATTGGATACTTGAGAGACAGGAAGAGGTAGAGGTGTGTAAATATGATGGGTAATATAATATGATCAGAAAAGAGAAAAATAAAATAAAAGATATTAAATAGGTGTTTGTAAGATAAAGATCTCCATGTATCATTGTTTAATATTTTAACATTGGGTTTGATTTGTGATTATGGGATACAAATAGAACAACGCATTAATTTAGTGTATATTTTGGTTTAGCTTAGATTGAAAAAAAAAATGTTTACTTTTTGACAGTTTTATAAAACGTTTTTGAAAATTGGAAAATTATTTTCTTCGAAAATAATTGTTTCCGAATATTTAATTAATAGTCAAAACCTATATCAAGATTCTTTTATTTTGCAATCAGTGGGTTATTCTCTTCTTTTCTGCTGCAATCAATTATCAAATGATGGTAAATGAAGATTTTTCCAAATCTTGTAATGAGTGGACAATCCTTGCCCGCAGTAAAATAGTATATAGTATAAAAGAGACATAAACATAGCTAAATAGTTCAATTATCTCATAATATTTGATCACATAAACCTTTGTAATATGGTAAAACTTTACTTCCTTATTTCGAAGCTTCTTAACGTCAACTTATTCTCTTTGTATTAAGGACACTATACATCACAAAAGGCCATACTTTTTGACCGTCTCTGCTTGAAGACTAGATTTGAATTTGATATCATCTTAGCTTGCCTAACATGTTCCTAATAACAATTCTTTGGCCTGAATTTTAGGCATATTTAGAGCACGGCATACCTGAGAGTCCTGAAATGGTTGTAGCATTAATGCACAAGGTACAATATTCTCTCAAATATTCTCTACATTTGTGCCTGTTGACGGAGTGAACTTCTCACTATCTAAACTTATAATGATTGCCTTTTGTTACTAGAAAATAAAAAAAATACTAATAAGACAGAAAAATATAATAAAACCCGTTATTATTCTATGTATTTTATGGCAGATTGAACTTAAGTGTATAATATATATATATATATATATTTTACTTTTGCATCACTGATACATATGCATCATTTTACAGATCAAACTGAGACTAAACTGGACTTACTAAGCATCAAAAGTAGAAAAAAGACAGAATGCTTTGAGAATGTATAAGTTTCAACTCAAAATGATAAGATACTCAAACTTTTCTTCTCATTGTGATGATCCAATGAATGAAACCGTGCTTGCACCACACCTATCCTACTTGTTCTACCTTAAAAATACCTACAGGAAATGGTGACAATTGATTGATGCAGGGAATATTAAAAAAAAAAGAAAAAAGGTAGGTAGCCATAAATTTTGTCTGTGTTTTACGCTTTTGTTTTGCTTTAGAGAAATCATGAAATTGCATATAAATTGTAAGAAGCTTGGTTTAGTGGGGTTTCACCGTTTTAGTGGCTCCATTATGAACACCTCTACTCTCTTAAGCAAATTTTATTTGGACCTTTTGAAATATATATATAGCCCTGTGTCACCAAAATGGTAGGAACAAGAAGCGAAACATTATTCACAATGCGGAAAAGGTGCGCTCACTTCACAACCAAGCTTGAAAATCTGGCCATACACTCGTTTGAAACAAGCTCTCAACTGAACCGGAACTACAAAAGAAACATGAAAACGAAACTTATAAAAATAATAGGAAGAAAATTCAAAGGGAGAAATTGAAAAAAAAATTTGGACCATTTCTCGATTTGTGCGTGTCATCCTTGCGCAGGGGCCATGCTAATCTTCTCTGTATCGTTCCAATTTTATCGGATGTCCCCGAAGGGACAACATCATCGGTGGCACAACTAATTATAAGCACTAATATTGTATTAGTTGCAGACGATGTGGGACTTCAGTGGAAAAGGGACAGTAACAACATGCAATCCAAAGATACACCTACTCTGCACAACGTACTGTACCCTAATTTGATTTAATTTGATAATTTATTTTTCTTCAGAATTACCGGTATAGATTAGTATATTTTATTCTCTAATTTTTCGGAAGAGAACTAAAAAACTTCTGTTAAGTACATCATTTTATACTTAAATAAATACATATAGATTAATTGTATGACAACATTTATCACTATCTATTACTCTATAACTCTGACATTTTGGTTCGTATTAACTATGCTTTATTGGATTTTAATTTATTTTATATAATTTTAAAACTATTTTTTAACTTAACTACTAATAAATAAATAACGCAATATAAAATCTAAAAACTAATTTAGTCATCATCAAACCTTGAGATTAACATCTGCATAAAGATAAACAACAACAATATTATTATTATTATTATTATTATTGTTATTATTATTATTATTATTAACATTATTATAAATCTCTTGTAAAAAAAGTAAAATATGAATTATTAATACGCAGGTAGCCATATGCCATCAAAAAGTCATAAAATCAAAAATTAAAGACCGAGACTTTATGACTGTAAAAAAGATCGATATAAATGTAATGCGCAATTTAGTTTGAATTGGTTTAAAGTTTTAGAATATGAATGGATATACAAGAGTAAGTTTACCAAAAACTTCATAACAAGCTCAGAAGCAAAAATCATTATGCTATCAACCTCAACTTATCAACTAAAATGTTAACTTATAATATAACATAAAACATATTAATTTCATTTGTGAAAGTTACAACTATTTAATGCAACAGTTAATCAATAATATAGTTTATAACACAATAATTTAGACAATAATATTTTTATATATCAATACATACCAACTCCATAACTCATCAACATAATAATACAATTTGACATCACACATTTTAATTAAAAGATTTCTTATAACACAAATGAGTAATTTAAATGATTTGACCCTACTGAACCAACTTAATAACACAATCTTTTTTGAACTTACTAGATCAACAACAAATTTGAATGAAAATCCTTAACACATGATTTATTGGATTTTGCCACTTAAATTAGAAAAATTTAGTATTTCTATCAACGTAAGACAACTTAAGTATGAGTCTACCATGATCCTAACATGCATAACTAAGTCTAAATGGGATTAGTCCGTTGACTACCCTCCAAATGTTACGTCCCTTTCGGTACTTAGTTAGGAATTTTTTTGAACCTTACTCAGTTTGATTACTTTATACATATGTATGACTCAACTTTGCCCTCATACAGACCTACATTGGTCGCTTTATATACATATACCTTGACTCGACCCCATATGACATCAACTATGGTTGTAGAAGAGACTTAACATTTCACTTCAAGAATCAACTTCTCAAAAAAGATTTTCAACAATTAAACTCGTAGTAGAGTACCACAACATCATACCCTCACAATATGGTATTTAACTTTTAAAATAATACCTCTCCATTAATTCTAAGTCAATCAACATAACTTAATTAGATGCATTTAGCATTCTCAACACAGTCACCTTAACACTCCACAACATACAACTCAACTTTCATTCAACTTACAACTTAAAAATTCACATGCATCATCCTAGATCAATATACAAGGAATTAAAGTCATACAACAACATATAACATGTGAGTTTTCCACTTATACACAATGTGCAATACTTAGCCAAATAAACAACACATTTTCATTTAGCAACTCACGCCTGACACCATTTTTCCCGCACCCAACATCATTGAGGCAAAGAGCCTCTGACTCGCTCATGTCCAATACCACTCAACTTGCATCTAGTGTAGGTTAGGTAGAGACTCTTATGTCAGTCTCGCCTAGAGTAGCAAAACCTATGCCCAACCTCATTTCAAGTAGAAAGCCTCTACCTAATTCACACCCAGCATCACAACATTAACGTTCGATGTCATCCAAGCAAAGAACTTATGTCTTGATCAAGTTTGGTGCCCCTTAACTCACGTCAAACGTGACCAAGTCAAAACTCTCATCTAATTTACGCCTAACACTAACAATATCGTGCTCGATGTCAATGAGACATAGAGCCTCTAACCTATATCATGCACGATGTTTTAAAGTTGCACTTAGTACAATGGTGATTTTTGCACTTGGTAGAATCACTAATTTGGTTCCCTTCACCTAAAAATTATAAGATACCAACATGCAGTGACAAAAACTACATCTACTCATCATAAATAACTTAATTCCAACCAAAAACACAACATTCAACCAACAATTAAGTAGAATCATCACATTCACCTCAATATGCTTCTAGAACAACAAAACCCCAATCTTAACTCAAATCAATAACATAGTTCAACAATTCAAGAATGATTCAAGTAGAATTCAACAAGAACAACACAAAATCAACAAGTTGCATGTTCCCTTTACCTTTGAATCAACAAGAATGGAGGTAGAAAGGAAGAATAAAATTCTCCGAGGCAACTCCACATATGATTGGCCACAACTCAATTCTTAGTTCTCTAACACCTTGGATCTTAATACAACAACTAAACCACACTTTGAGGAAGGATCTACATTCTCAAAGAAGTCAGTAGGAGAAAAAAAAATCTCATCAATTCTAGAGTTTTTCTCTCTAGACTCCTTCTATCTTTAAGTTCTTAATAAATAAACTTATGAAGTTTACTTTTTAAGAAATGACTTTATATACATCCATCTAATAAGTCAATTTGACATCTACTCAAAACAACTCTTAACAATTAAAACTCATAACTACTCCACAATTCTTAGAGTCTTACAACAATCAACAACTAACAATGATAATAATTAAATTAATAAAATCAACAATATAAAAAATGCACAGTATTACAATAACAATTTAATCATTGAAATAATTTTAATTTATCGAAATGATTCACAAATTAATAAGATTTTAGGTAAACGTTTTATTTTGACCTAATGTAAGTATATGTAAGTTAAATAAAATTGTAATGCATTTTTTACATAAAATATCGATCTTTTAAAATACAAATAACAACACGTAAATTAAATCAAAATAAGATTTAATTTCTTATTACAAAAGCCGCTTTCACAATTGACCGCGTTTTTACACAAATATAACAATATCTCTTTGCAATCGGTCCATCCCTTTATCATGCTTATAGTTAAATGAAATAAATATTGGACGTCAAAATTTTAGTCCACATTGCTTGTTCTATTTAGATACACAAATTGCTTCCAAAAAATATTACTACCTTCGTCATTATATATTAGATCATTTTTCACTTTTTTATTTATCTTTTTTTATAAAAGCATCTTTAAATTATTAGTTACATTAATTATGTCTTCCCTAAAATACCTTTATTTAATTAAATTCCTTTAGACAAAAGATAAATGCTTGAAATTAATGAGATAAAAATTCTATTGGAGAAGATAAATATACATAGATATATCTCTTTCAAACAATAGTTAATTTAGGAAAAAATAGTTGAATGAAAAGAGAGAGTTAATTTTGAAAAAAATAGTTTAAATTATTGACAAATTTAATATTTTTAACTAAATTAACTAATTTTATATAACTTAATTAAAAGACTTTTATAATCAGGACTCCAAATATGAATAGTGCCAAAACTACGGTAGCCTTCATAGCCCGCCCCAGGAACCTAACCCACAAAAAAAGATGAAAGACCCATCTCACCAAATCACAGGGCTAGGAGAAAAACTTCACCACAGTTGCAACTTGAAACATTCTTTGCAATAGTTTGGTATCTTAAACAAAAAAACTGAACTATCGAATTCTAAAACATTTCCACCAATGTCCTCAGTTTGTGGATATATAACAGAGATAATAACCAAGATATATTAACTGATTATATGTTGAACAACAGATACAGACACAACATGAGGAAGAAATTAGCAAGTCAGAACAAAAAAGGACCATAGCCTAGACTAATCTAAAAGATACTCATTTGTGTAACTATATCAAAACTCCTAATTCAACAAGATACCACACAGTCGTTAACAGGGTGAAAATATAGTTAATAGATGATGGCTACTGCAGTGGCCAGTCTCCCCAATCGTATTTCCACTTGGCGTGCTGATGCAACTACACTAAGAGAATTCGAGATTACAAGCAGGAACATCCCAACGGCCATTAGCAATTATCTTTAATCTTTATGCATTATTTTTATAATATTCTTGAAACCACTAAACAATACGAAACAATACACTAAGTAAAAGATGTCCATTCAATATAGATGTGTCATATACTGAAAGACCACTTGTTGGAGACACGTTAAGCTCTGAAGAAAGCATTATTGCATCATACATCCGGAGATCAATGCATCCAGAATGTATATCAATATACAAATGAATCAATAATGGTCATGATATGATGCAATATCATTAACAAAACAATGAATTAATAAACATGGACAAAATCTAAGACTACCTTCCCAATCATAAAGTAATATATTATAGACGAGAGATATTATAACTACTAATTTATTATTAATAATATTAGCAAAATCATAAAATTCTCTTCTTCCCTTCCTCTAAATAAGAAAAAAGCTTTCCCCCCTTCAAAGTTCTAATCAACGACAAGGTAATTAGGAACCACCACACAAAATAAAATTAACGACAGAATGTCAGTTCTTTTTCCAGTTAATAAAAAAACTTAGGACCGCATGATAAACTTGTCATTCCTCTATACATTATATACATCATACATGCAATTGGTATGAAATAACAAGATAAATGAAGCAGAAAAACTCGAGTATCTGATACGGGTCTAGACAAGCTGCAGCTTGCGTATAAATCACATACCCCTTGGCCACTTTCATTACCAGGCCTAAAACGCTTAACTTCTAATAGATATGTTATAAAGTACACTTCTCATACAATTGATTCAAAATAACAAAAGGTATGAACTTGAGAACAAGAGGATTGTAAGAACCAAATCCAAACTAAGATATTGTTCATGCCATTAACAATCATTCCCTTGTCAACCTAGCAACACTAGCTCCAACTTGAACTTTGCAAATTATGATCATATTCCATTGCCGTTGAGAGATGACCACGTGCAGGTGCAATCCACTTCCCCAACTCCTGGAATTGAATAGAAGGCAAAATCAGAGAGAAATTTTGCATTTCCCCTGGAGATGAATTTTATGTCAGAGTAGCAAGGAAATAGAAACCGCAAAATGGAAAATGTGTACAAACAGAGAAAGGTCAAAAACATAATTCACAATCCATATAATTTTTCTACAATATGAATCATTTACAGGAAATTACGTGGACATGTTAAACCATTTTTTCCCTCCCAAACCCCTTCCCCAACTAAGCCAAGCCTACCCTAGTAGGTTCAAGACTTGTTGGACATTACTTGCATAACATTAACAACCAAATCAATATATTTTGCATATATGGGAAGCCAACACATACATACAAATGAAACCAACAACTGAAAAGACGGGCGAAATAAGCATGCAATTACCTGGTGTCATTGAGTGGATACGGGAGCACTATCTTCAGCAGCCATAGGCTCCACCTGAGAAACCTTCTTTGCAATTGACTTGGGAATATCAACATACTCCTGGATGCAACGTTGCTGAGGATGCGACAGCAGGATGAGCACATAACGGAAAAGAACACGTGCCAACCCCTGTCCACTCTCCAAGATATAACCCTCATATTCACTAACATGTTCAAGTGCCTCCACCAGTGTATCATACACCTCCTGAGGGCAATTGTCGGGCCCAGGCTTATCATGAAGGTACATCACATCCAAAGTGAAGAGTTTCTGGTTCACGGGCCACTGATGCTGTGGCCGCTCCGATGATCTGCAGTAGAACAGAATCTACAGTGGAGTAGCACATTGCATATTAGGATTCGTAATCCTAATTAAGTTTAATTACCTCTTAGTCCATATTGATTCATAGGTTTTACATTTCAGTCCTTATAAGTTATAACTAAAAATGTTCTATTTTAGTCCTCCACAAACTCTTTTTTTGTTCTATTACCAGAGACTAAAATGTGAAATTTGTGAAATAATAGAACCTAAAAGAAGAGAAAAACTAAAATGAAATATTTTTAAGGTTTGATTACCCTTTTGACTCCATTATGATTCATCAACTTCACCTTTTACCTTTTTAGTACCTACGATCTTTCATTTTAGTCTCTATATAGAGATATTATTTTTTGTTCTTTTTAAGTTTTCCTATAAAAAAAAAAAACAAAAATGATATGTATAAAAAATAAAATGAAACATTTTTACCTCTAGGAACTAAAAATTAAAGTTGATGAAAATCCAGTTAAACCTATTTTAAGAGATAAAGTTGATGAAACTACGGTGACGAAGATAATTAAAGCTCTTAATTATAAAGATTTGTGAGAAAAGGACTTACAACTCTTAGGATGCGACCGTGCACACGAGATTTCTTGGCTTCGTGAGCAGCGAGACGGAAGAGATTAGTGAGATCGGGTTGGGCGCAGGATGAAGAAGGTGAAAGCCCCCGCATTGCGGCGATCGTTGAGTCGATTTCGCTGCTGAAGTCTTTCCTGAGCTGTGATTAGTAAAAGCAAAAAAAAAGTGTGAATGAATAAAATAGATAAGAAAGGAAAGGGGAAAGGAAATAGGGTTAGGGTTACCCATGAGACGGAGTTGGAGAGAGTGGCGAAGGCGAAGCGGTGTTGGGGGTTGATGGTGAGTTTGGCGTTGACGAAGAGAATGATGGCTTGCTTGATGGAGTCCAATCGGGTGAGGGGTCTACCATTGGGTCCGGTGGCACCTTTCATCTCCACCATAGACTGAGGATCCACGTCCACACAGATCAGAATGTCTTCGTTGCAAATTCGCGACGCTTTCAGACTGTATCTGTTCATTCCATTTCCATCTCCTTCCATCGCCTCCATTGCTCCTTTCTTCTCCCTCCCACTCCCAACCTCATTGCCTTAAATCACATCACTTCGCTCCCCTTTTTTTTCCTTCCTAAAATAAAACAAAAATATATATATATATATTTTTTTAACTTATGAATACATTTAATAATTGTCATCTAAATAAAGTAGAAATATCTATTAAAAAATGCTGTAAGAAGAGTTTGCATTATTCTTAACAAGATTATTATTAGAATGATCTAATCATATATAATGAATTTATTAAGTTTTATAAAGAAAAAATTATATTCTATTATCTTCAAATTATACTAAATTTTAAATATTACACTTCGTCTCAATTATATCAACTTAGTAACAAAAACTTAGAAAAAAAAATGTTTTTTTTATTTTTATCAAGGCTAGCAAAATTGTTAAATATTTTTTATCAATTATACCTTTCTTGTATTTTCTTAGGAAACGAGTGTTAAAGTAGTTAACGGGTGAGTTGAGCATCCTGACTTGTGTTTGTGTGAAACGAAGGAGCGACCGACCAAAGCGTGGGTGTCCCTCAAATTTGGAACACGTAGACGTAGCTTTCATTAGAAGGTGCGGTTGGACTGAGTTTTGGTTTGGTATTGACTTTTTAACTTCAACTTTGGCAACCTAACCGCAAAATAAAAGTGCCTTCACCTCATAACTCCCTTCATCTTTCTTCGCTAACACTCCACTGGGCTTTCGATCCGAAATTCGCCATGATCGCAGCCTCCTACTCTCCTCTTCCTTCTACGTCTCCCACTCTCCATCGGAACTCACTGTAAGCTCCCATCTCTTGCATTTCCATTTCAATTTCTCAATTTCACCTAAAAAAACCCTCACCAAACCCTATTTGTCTTCTCCGCGTTTTTGTATCTTTTATTTCTCGATCCAATTATTATTATTATTCAATTACGCCGCCTTAGTTCCTCTATGCAATTTTTCATATTGACGTGATCTATAGATTATTTCTGTCGGGCAAAGTTATTATAGGAAAAACAAACGCTCTGTTTCGCGGGTAGCTATGAGTTTTTTTTTACGGTTTTGGAAGCGTTATTATTTTATGTTTCTGTCATGAAAAACATTAGAGTCACCCATTCTCTTTCAAATTCATTGATCTGACATTTTTCTTTTCGTCAATGCCTACCAGCTGGTTTGGGATTTATCACTCGTGAGTAGAGTTCGCTAAATGCTTTATCACTCTTTATTTTCAGGTTGTGTTCTGATTGCCATTCAAATTGTAACAAGTCTACATCTCAAGCATCTTTGTTTTTGTCTTCTGACAACACCAATAGAAGAAATGGCATGCTTGCTGGACCTCTTTCTGTGAGTTCCTCTTCCAGGAGAAACTTAGTTGGTCTGACTTCTTATTCTGCAGAGACGAGTGCTTATGATGTGACTGCTTTAGAATCTCCTTCCCATGTTGCGGAAGAAAAAGTGGGTGTGCTGCTTCTCAATCTTGGAGGACCAGAGACATTGAATGACGTTCAACCTTTTCTGTTTAATCTTTTTGCAGATCCTGTATGTTAGTTTGTTTTTGTGCTTTTTTACTGCTTTTTTTCTTTTGTATACATGGTCATGTGATTTGTATGCTAATGTGTTTCTTGTATTGGGATAGGATATCATTCGTCTCCCGAGGTTGTTTCGGTTTCTACAGCGGCCATTGGCAAAATTGATTTCTGTACTTCGGGCTCCTAAATCCAAGGAAGGCTATGCTGCTATTGGTGGTGGCTCTCCTTTGCGCAAAATTACAGATGACCAGGTGGAGTTCAATTTTTTTGGTTTTCCCATCATCATCTGCTTTGCGATGCTTTTTATCTTGAATGCATGCTTTTTTGGCCTTTCTCCTGTTACATTTAATAAAAACTCTGTTTTGGTAATTTGTGCTGGAGATAACGAAAGCTTTATGGATCATTATGCGTGTGCAGGCACTTGCAATTAAAATGGCTTTGGAAGCAAAGGGCATCTCTTCAAATGTCTATGTTGGGATGCGGTACTGGTACCCATTCACTGAAGAAGCAGTGCAGCAAGTAAGTTCTCGTGCTTTTTGGTCAAATGTTGCCTTTCTGCATTATTCTCCTCATACTTCCATTTTCTCCTTTCATGATTAAATGACATGCAGGGCAATTAATCGTGAATTGTATTATTTATTTTGAGGTACACTGCATCATCTCAGACTTTTGGGTCTAAAATTAATAGTTTGTCTTGTGTGACAGATTAAGAAGGACAGGATAACAAGGCTTGTGGTACTACCCCTTTATCCTCAGTTCTCTATATCCACTACTGGGTCAAGCATCCGTGTTCTGGAGCAGATATTCAGGTACTGATGGGCACTTTGTGAATGCTCTTTAGGTGATTCAAGGATTATTCTTAATTAACTGATGCCATTTAATTTCCAGGGAAGATGCATATTTGTCTAGGCTTCCAGTTTCCATTATAAACTCTTGGTATCAACGACAAGGTTATATCAAGTCAATGGCTGACTTAATAGAGAAAGAGCTCCAGAGTTTTTCTGAACCAAAAGAGGTGAATTTCATTTTGTTGAATGCTTCAACTTGGTTCTTACATAAATTGAAGGCTATGTGATGTATTTTACTGCAGTCTGAACCGTGGGTTTTTCTTTATATTAGGTGATGATATTTTTCAGTGCCCACGGAGTACCTGTCAGTTATGTTGTGGATGCGGGGGATCCATACCGAGATCAAATGGAGGAGTGCATTTTCTTGATCATGCAAGAGTTGAAAGCTAGAGGAATTAGTAATGAGCACATTCTTGCTTACCAGGTTTATTTTGAACTCTTTCAACATGCTTTTCTGGCTTTTTCAGTTAAAATTGAGATTTCATATTTAATTGCTGGCCTATATTCTTGATTTGTAAGTTTGTATGGTTTACTTTCTATTTTTCCAATATCATACATTTTACTTGGATGAATTTCCAGAGTCGGGTGGGTCCTGTACAGTGGCTGAAACCATATACAGATGAAGTTCTCGTTGAGCTTGGCCAAAGAGGTGTGAGGAGTCTTTTAGCTGTTCCAGTGAGGTACACTATTATTGGTCTTCTAATCTCTGTAGATTTAAATTTTAGAAGGTAGCATTGGATTTTACAGTATGTTACTGGTTATAGTACTGTTGAAAGTTGTGAATATCCCTTATCCGGGTGTGGACAGAATAGCATAGCAAATAAATATTATTAGCGTAGAAAAATGCGTTCTTCATCTTTAATTGTTTGCTAGCGGTAATGAGAGTAAAAGTAATCCTTTCTTCTTATATCCCAGCTTTGTGAGTGAGCATATTGAGACCCTTGAAGAAATTGACATGGAGTACAAGGAATTGGCTCTTGAATCTGGCGTCAAGAATTGGGCGCGTGTCCCTGCCCTTGGTGTTACCCCTTCCTTCATTACAGATTTGGCAGATGCAGTAATAGATGCTCTTCCGTCAGCAACAGCAATGTGTGCGCCTGCCAGCACCTCTGAAGAAGATGTTGATCATGACCCAGTCAGATATTTTATAAAGATATTCTTTGGTTCAATCTTGGCATTCATCTTATTCTTGTCACCCAAAATGGTAATGGCATTCAGGAATCATGTCATTTAGAAGAATTAGGAACTACTTGCCAAATACGATTTGCAAGCATATAGATGAAGCTATTGATAGCAATATGGTCATTACAACCTCTACTTTATACCTGGATTTTTTGCCTCGATTTACTCATTACAATCTCTGTTGTATACGTCAGAGCTATGAAGAAGCAATTTTTCCCACTTAATCATAATGGCAACTTGCACCGCGTCTTAAAGAGTATTAACTTATAGATCCTCCCAAAAAAAAATAAAGGATCTGTTCTAGAGCCAAGAGGCATCGACCCGATCTCCGATATTAAACCCTGAACACTTTGTGTATTGTTTATTCACATCTTTTCTACAATTTTCATGTACGGTGGACAAACTTTGTAAGTGATCCACCGTGCACAAATATTTTAAACCATCAGATTTATAGTGTATACGATCTTATGATGTACCTTTTGCATCGGATTATTCACCTCATCAGGCAATTTTTTTTCTCTCTTTGGTTGTTCACGTTTTTATCTCTCCTCAGATACCCTTTCTCACCGAGCTCTTCCTTCAACCATCACAATGCTCTCCATCATAATGTTCTCGTTTTTGCACAATGGGAAACCTTTGGAGCACATTTCTTTATCAAAAACTCCACATTGGGCATCATGGATTTGGAAGGTGGAAGGTGAGAGAGAGGAGGTCTTCCATGCGCAAGCTCCGAAGTTGTGATCCTAAAGGACCATATACAAACCTTAAAAGTTGAAACTGTATATACCAGCCTTGAAACTGTACCCCTGCAGGAGTGAATTACCTCGAGAGCAATCCAATACGGCGTGCCCGGAACATCAGTGAACTTGGGAGACAAACACAGGGACTCGTAGATGGAGAGGCAGCGATGCCAAAATCCGTGAGCTTGACTTGGTCGTTGAGTCAACAGTGTTGCCATCTTTTATGTCTATGTGGAGATGGCCTTGAGTGTGGAGGTGAGAGAGGGTTAAGGGTGTCTGAGAACCATAGTGAGAGATGATGGATCAATTACATGTGCATGGCCATGAATGGCATCACCATCCTTCACTAGATCGGCAACTGATACTTTTCTATGATTTAATTTTTTTATCGTTCGTTGTTCTATTATGAGGCAACGAGTGGTGAGGGGGGAGATAGAGGAAAGTGTGTCTGAGGAAGGGAGATAGATAAAACTAGAAGGCAAGGTGACGAAAGAGAGAGGAAATAGATGAGAAAGGACACGAGAGAGAGAGAGAGAAAATACAGGATAGCAGAGAAGAGAGAAAAGAATTGACAGAGGATGAATAAAATCTAGTGCAGGCAGTCTATCATAATACTGGATAAATCCGATAAATCTAATGGCTTTAGATATTGGATCATGGTAGTCCACCTACAAAAGTGGTTCACCGTAGCACTCATCGGTTTCCCTTACGCCCCCACCCCCCCCGGCCGTGAAATGGACGAAAATGAGATAGAAAGAGAAGAAATGTTATAAAAAATAGATAAAAGGAGAAAAAAAAATGAAATATAAAAGGGATGTAAATAAAAATAGGTACGGAAAAATAAAGGTCCCTGGGTCTTATATCCAAAATTGGTATAGTTGTACGTACAAATAGCATGGAAGTATGCGAATAAATAGTTGATCAAATTTGATATAAAGCATTATGATATAGTTGGTAGATAATATTTCTCAAGCACGGGTTAGAGTTTGATATATATATATATATAATTAGTTTTATCTATCGTAAAAGTCAAATTATATTCGAACTACAAATTTAAAATTAAAAAATAAAATTAAGTTATTCAAACAAAATATTTATATTCATAAAAATTAAAATCAAATTCTACAAATTTTAAATTTATTGAATTCCTAAATTTCTTAAGCGTGATGCCGAACATCTAACCCAAAACACTGAAGCAAAATAGATGTGTATTCAATTACGTTTTTATCACTGAGCCACTTTGCCATTTTAATGTATGTTATATTCTACTTCTAAAATATATTTGTGATCTTTTATTATATTATTATAAAAGATTATATAGATTCTTAAATTTTAAACAATTCTTTCAACAATTAATGTTGTCCTTGACGTTTGTATTTTGAAAACACGATTTTAAACTCTTGTTGATTTAAAAATAAAACTTATCTTACTAAATTCACTAACAAAAAAAATCTATAACAATATCCAATCCAATAAAGTCATAAATATGACAAGAACCACGCAAAAAATATAGAAATAATAAGCTCCTAAAACAGACAAAAATTTCCAACATATTTTTCATTTTTAGTTGCTTTTCATATAAATTTTTACCATGTTAATGGTTGATATTTATCCGTACAAAACATTCAAAGACAGAAAATTTCAATACTAAAGAAGTAAAAAAAATTAAAAATCAATACATCAATTCTTCGGTATAAACGATGCAATGCTACTTAAATGTCAGCTATTACAATAAACAACGGTAGAACCGATAACAGCCCATGAAGGGAGAGGCAAAAATATCAAGTCTGAGGTGATGTTTTAGCAACGGCATTCTGAGGAGCCTGAGCATTCGCACTGGCATTACCATCACCAGTATATGCCGCAGTCTGAGTATAACCAGCAGCACCATAAGTGTTGCTGTATGGAGGTGGTGTCTGACCATAACCTTGAGGAGGAGCACCATACGTTTGAGGAGGGTACCCTGGTTGCACCGCCCCACCATAACCAGATGGTGGTGCCCTCGATTCAGGTTGAGCATACCCTGAAGGTGGGGGCTGTGCGGGATATGCTGACTGACTGTAGCCTCCTCCTGCGCTAGGAGACTGTGACTGTCCATAAACAGGTGGAGTGCCACTAGGCTTCTGAGATTGAGGGGGTCCATAACCAGCCCCATAACCAGGCTGCGGTTGATTACCATAAGCTGCTTGAGATGTAGGGGGAACCCCATAACCTGGAGTCCCTTGAGGTGGGTAGTTGGCAGTGTTCGAGCTGGGCTGTTGGGCAGCAGGATAACCTTGCTGTGCAATCGCAGTCGGTTGAGCAGATGAAGCTTGGGTTGAATCTCCCTGGGAAGGATAGTTTGCAGTGTGGCCCTCTTGGGCAGGGTTACTTCCACTACCATAGCCACCAGTAGCTGACCCATACCCTTGCTGTTGATCATATGGTTGTGGCTGCCCATACCCTGATTGTGATTGTGCATTATACGCATTATAACTGTCCTGTGCATAACCCTGCCCAGGTTGGCTATAACCAGAGGAAGGTGGCTGACTGTAATTGTATGCAGAGCCATCAGCAGGAGCAGCAGAACCACCAGGATTTTGTGATTGCTGTGGCTGTTGACTATAGTAATCATAGCCGCCAGCATGAGCAGACTGCTGGTGAGGTGGAGCAGTAGACTGGTCCCAACCGGTGGAATATCCACCAGGTTGCTGAGGAGGATAGCCTGCATATGGTGGCTGAGGCATGTTATACTGGGGTGATGGGCCAGGGTATGCTCCAGGTTGCACATAGCCATAACCAGGTTGCTGCATTGGGGCAGGAGGAGCCCAGTTAGAGGGTGGTCGAGATTGGTAACCTTGCTGAGGATAACCACCAGACATTGCAGGATTTCTAAGACGATTCTGTGAAGACAAATTCAAACAAAAAATAAAAGTGTGAATTCACCCAAGGCTTTCACATCATACAAGTATAGAAAGCAACAGATGCCCACACATACACAGGTTAAACTTAAACAAATAAAAAACAACATATAAAGAACACAAGATAAAAGGTATATATGTCTTGCATTAACAGATTGCATACAAGATCAGAAAGGAATATGAATACCTACATACCGTACTGGTTCGTGATAAAACTGAGTTACTCCAGCAGAAGCACACCCTTTCCCTATTCGAATTGAATGGGTACAAAAGGAAGCACAGACCACAGAAACAAGCATACAATCTATATTATTGCCTTAAAAAGGCAATCCATCATATATTATCTCAAAATATGCAGTCTTATTCCAATTGTTGCAGTATATAATATATCATTCATAATCGTATTAATTCAACGAGTGTCTGGACCACAGATATTTCATACTGTATAAGATGAAGGAACAACCATAAATAGATGCAAATATACAGACTGTCAAGACAACTTCCCTGTGCTCCCATGTACATTCTCTTAACCTTTCCTTAACCCTTCCTTAACCCAATCTAGCATGTCAACCTCAGGATAATCAAATAAAAGCAAATAAAATCAAAAATTATTTTAATGGAACAGGAATTTAAATAGGTGTAGAAGGCCTCTTATTTACTGAGCAGCTCAAATTTCAGAAAAGATTATAATTAAATGGCACAAGAAAAAGAAGGAAAAAGAAAATAATAGTTGAATGGTAAGAGGCAGAAGAGTAGTGGCATGAGCTAAAGAAAAGTTATAATGCCACATTAAATGTATAGAAATCTAGAACAACATAACTCACTATTCAAAGCAACTACAATTAAAAAATGTATAAAATAGAAGAATAAGGGAAAAAAAGGTAAAGGGCATCACTATGGGCAAATTTCAGGTTACCCCGCCAAATGTATGTCCAGTATAAGACACAAGAATAAAATATTATTTCAAGTATATATAGTTATTCTGAGGAATGAAGTGTATGCACAAATGGTATAGTTGAAAAGGAGGATTTCAACACAATAATTCAATATTCAGTCTAATGATGACAGAGTCAAATAATATTAATAGGAGACTTATTGCCCTTATCAAAACTGAGATTTAGAACCATACCAGGGCATGCTGAGGGAACACCAACAAAGGGATTCATGTTGGTGTCACCAAAGGTCCAATAGACACTATAACCCTACAATAGTCCCAATAGCAAGATCAGTCATAGGATACACAATTAATAAGCATATTCCATTGTTGAACAGGCTATAATCCCAGTGAGTATCCAGTGAGTATCCCCTTTGACCAAAAGAAATACCAAAATTACAGTAGCCTTCATAGCCTGCCCCAGGAACCTAACCCACAAAAAAGATGAAAGACCCATCTTTTGCAAGTGTTTGGTATCTTAAACAAATAACTGGACTATCAAATTCTCAAACATTTCCACCAATGTCCTCAGTTTGTGGATATATAACAGAGATAATAATCAAGACATATTACCTAATTATATATTAGACAACAGATACAGACACAACATAAGGACGAAATTAACAAGTCAGAACAAAAAAGACCTTGAATTTATGAACATCCACCATAGCCTAGACTAATCTAAAAGATACTCATTTGTGTATATGCATATATTATATATTATATCAAGACTCCTAATTAAACAAGATACCAAACAGTTGTTAACAGGGAGTAAATATAGTTAATAGATGATGGCTACTGCAGTGGCCAGTCTCCCTAATCATATTTCCACTTGGTGTGCTGATGCAACTACACTGAAGAGAATTGAAGATTACAAGCTGGAACATCCCAATTGCCATTAGCAATTATCTTGAATCTTTAAGCATTATTTTTATAATAGTCTTGAAACCACTAAACAATATGATACAATACACTAAGTAACAGATGTCCATTCAATATAGATGTATCATATACTGAAAGACCACTTGTTGGAGACACATTAAGCTCTGAAGAAAGCATTACTGCATTATACATCCAAAGATCAATGCAACCAGCATATATCAATATACAAATGAATCAATAATGATCATGATATGATGCAATATCATTAACAAAACAATGAATTAATAAACATGGACAAAAAAATTAATTATGCAAAATAAAGTAACGGCCATCACATAATTTACCCATGTTGTTATTTTTGTCGCTGCAAAGGAACAAAAGCAAATATTGAAGAGTCCAAAAGCCACACAGCATGTTACAGAGATCCATTAGTTCATGTTTCATATTTTAATAGCATAAAAAAAATAACAAAGATCCAACAGGAAATCATAAGACACAATAAATCACATAAAAGCATGGAAAAAAATTAACCCAGTTTGACCAAACGAACATTTAAAACGATGATCAGACTTGTACAATAGAAAATCCACACTTTTGAAGACTAAACTAGACTAGGCACAAGGCAGGCAAACATGTTAAGCCAAAAACAAAAAAGAGAGCATCCTTAACATACCTCGCCACTGATAACTTGATTAACCAACTGCTTTGCAGACTCAATTTGCTCAGGAGTCCCATCAATTTTTAATGTCCTTTCAGTTGATGTGTCACCAGGGGGAAGATGCAGAGGTATCACCTGAGAAAATATACAATATTAGTGAAAAGCAACAATAAATAGGGTCTCAAGCTGGCCGCTATTGCAACCTATTTTTAAAAAGGTAGTAATCACAGTCACAGTAAGACAACATAGCAACTAAACCCTAAGCAAACTATGATTTATCACAGACAACAATATCCTAGTTATCAGCTAGAAGTGAAAACCTGAATCCGTGCTCCAGTCGAAGCTTGCATATTCTTTATTGTTTCACCCCCTTTACCAATTATAAGGCCAACCTGAAGATACACAACAAAATCTATCAACCCACACACCAACCACTTAAAAAATTGTGCAAAGCATATGCTTCAACATATCTCCTTTCCACACCTTATTATTTGGGATTTTCATGGAAAATTCATCCGACCCAGCTTGTCCAGTCAGTCTTCGAGCAACAATGCCAGAACCTCCAGATTCAGCCTGGAAAAAAAAAACAATTCAGGCCTGATATATTTTAACATAATCATTCGAGCAAATTCATTAGGAAACAGTTCGCCTTATACATCTCATTATAATTATCATTCCATCGACATCTAAGATAATTTAAAGAAACCCTATAGCTAAATTACAGCGAAACGGGGAAAAGTGAAAAAAAGAACCTCAGCAAGAACTTCATTGATGAGTTTCTCAGCAGAGGCAATTGCTTCAGGAGTTCCCATGAGCTCAACCATCCTAGTCGGGGAATTAGGATCAGCGTCCATATCGCGAGTAACTTGAATTTTGGCGCCAGATTGCAGCTGGAGATACTTGATGGTCTCTCCAGCTTTTCCAATAATGACACCAACCCTGCCGTTGGGGATATCTATCTTCTTGCTCGTTCCTTGGTGAGCATAGGAGACAGGAGGAACTGCTGAGTACTGAGGCTTGGCATCTGTGTTAACGGAAATGAGAATTTAAAACCCTAACCTAAACCTAATACATAGAGTGGAGCGGAAAGAAAACTTTACCGAGGGAATCGAAGCCGGAATCAGGCTTGGGACGCTTGTTGGCGTCGAGGGGGGGAGGAGGAGCGCCGCTGAGGAGGCGAGCGGCGACTTCTTGAGCACGCTGCTTGGCGAGCTCGATGCCGGTGGCAGGGCCGGCGGAGAAGCCAGTGGGTCTGTCGTTGGCTTGGTCGTCGTACTTACGCTTGTGAGGCGCAGAGTCGGTCCCTGATGAATATTGAGCTTCCTCCGCCATCGGCACAAACCCTAAGAGATGAGATATTTTCTTTCCTGCAACCAAAATAAGATGGCATCCGCAACATGGACCATTCAGATAAGATGTAATTTATAATATATCAGAGGTTGATACTGTCAGAATAAAATAAATTTTAAATTTTTAATCATATTCGATATTTGGTATATTTTCGAATAATAAATTAAAGACTTAAATATATTTTTAGTCCTTCAAATTTATGATAAATATGTTTTTGGTCCCTCAAATTTAAAATTGTTGTTTTTAGTTCTTGTAATTTTAAAAAATCTTATTTTAGCCTCTATATTCAAATTTTGTTAAGAAATTTATCAAATATTATTGCATAAAATCTATCTATTGATGTTCTTATTAGTGAAAATATCACATTAAATCCAGTTGATATTGCATAATTGTCTTAATTAGTCACTTTCAAATATGTTATTGGTGACCTAAAGGACTAAAACAAGATTTTTGAAAATTACAGGAACTAAAAACAACAGTTTTAAATTTAAAGGACCAAAAACAAAATTATTTTAAATTTGAAGGACTAAAAACATATTTAAGCCTAAATTAAATCTTGTGTTTAATATATGAATTAATAAAGAAATATATCAATTATGTTTAAATAATAATAAGAAAATATTAAAATTATATATGTATAGTATTTTAATATGTATAATCTTTAGTGTATATTTAAATAAATAAAAGATAAAAATAACACATTAAACAAATATCAAAATAGTATGAAAAACAATGTAGATGGATAATATTCTTCATTTTATATCTAATATATATAATTAAATATTAAAATCAAATATATGTATTCATCTTTAGATTTCAAATATTATCTTTTACATCATTTTTTCATTTATTTTAATAATTTTTCAACTTCTTTGTCTCTTTAAATATATCATTTTCATATTAATTTTAACATTTTTTTAATCTCTTATTTTTAATATATTATTTTTATGTTTATTTTAATATTTCTTAAAAACTATTATCAATAATTAAAAATATTATCACAATATAAATTATTTATCATAAATTAAAAATATATGTTTTTGTAGATTTTTTCTTTTTAGAGTTTTTTGAAGGGAGATGATGAACATATTATCACCTTCGCCAATGAATAAAACATTCAAAATAACCATATCAGCTATTAATTCAATTACCACAAAAGTTGAAAATAATAAAATTAAAATAAAAATAAAAAAATATTTTACCTTTGATATTATTAACAAAAATATATCTTGAACAGAAATAACATTGAAATTCATAAAACATAAACAATAAAACTAATGGTTAAAGAGTCTTATGAAAAGAACACTCACAGTGTAGTGCATTTTTTTCAACTATTCATTTTCTTTTGCTAATAAATTGTCTAAAACTAATTATTAGAAATATTTTTTCACAATAATTGTGATGGAGAATATGTCAATTTATATAAAATGGATTTAAAATGATGTTATTGAATAGATCATGTTTATAAATTCTTTTGCTATCGTCTATGATTTTGGCTAAATGATTGTTGAATTTTTTCCTTCAAATCAATAAGAAAAAAAATGGATTGTTGTTGGTCTCATCTAACTCGTTGTCTAAAATACAACTATAAAATTTTAATTGGACTTAATTAAATATTCATCTAACTGAGAGTGTGGAATATGGATACCGCATAGTAATGACCATTGATTTTTATATACTTCTAAACTACTTTTTGAAGACTAAGTTTGAAACTTAGCCATTTGTAAAATTGGTATCACATGCATGTAGAATAAGAGCATGAGAGTTAATATTTAATGTGTATGAGATTTATGAATGTGCATAATTGTTCAATTTTATGTAATTATATGTCTAAATGTATATGATATATTTTTAGATGCTACTTGATCTTATTTTTTATACAATGATGATACGTTGTGAAATGTATTCTTGTTTTTTGTACATTGTACTTTTGTTGGAATGAACATTATTTATAGGTAAAATTTAACTGAATATGCATGATAAAATTGTTAAAGACAAAATTTAGACTTTTAAGTTATTTGTTATTTATAAATTTTTGCTTTGGTACATGAGAAATCAAAATAATAAGATTATTTAGATTTCGTCTAATTATTTATTTTAAATTATTAGTTTATGTATAGTTTTTGAATAAATTTTATGTAAAAGTTTTTTGAGGTACTTACTTTATCTTTATTGATTTTTGTACAATACAAATTAATAATGTGAACCTTTAGTCCAAATATCAAATACACCAATGATTAAAATTTATAGATTACTTATTAACAAAATTTTCAAATCGATAGAAGTCGAATTTAGAGTTTTTTTTTTTGAATAAGTTTATTATTTATTAATTGAGTTAATCTTGATGAGTTAATATCTTGACTCATTAAAATATAATTCTGATCTATCATTGATCAATCATTTTTCATGAATTAGTTTGTCTCATTTAACGTCTATCGTTCCTAAATACCTTGACCACCTTAAACTATGATCACATTATATCACCATAATTTTTCTAAAGTAATTACAATAAAAATTCATAATAAATAAATTACAATAAAATAAATTCATCATTTTCTAATGATATTAAATTTTCATTTTTTTATAAGTAAAAATGATTGATAGAAAACCACACTTTCAAACTACCAGACATGACATAATAAATTTAATGATTAGTTCAAGTTCAGTAGGATTTAATTTAATTTTAATTCAAAGCTTTATTTATCACACTAGATCATAATAAATTTACGTTTAATGTATAATAGCTAAAAATGAGATTATTGTAACTGATTATTGTCATTAACTACTTTAAAAAGCTAATTGAAAAAAAAAAACTATTTATGTACGAACACATACTTATGTAATTAGATAAACCTTAAAAACATAAATAAATCTTTCAACAACCAAGCATAAAATTGACCGTGAAACTAGACTAGAAACTAAAAATTTCATGACATTCATAAATTAATTTCACAAGTTCAAATAAAATTACCAATAAGATTTTTCAGATGCCACAAAAGGGTTCCTATGTAACCGTACATAATATTAAAAAGTAGAAAATTTCAATACATCAATTCTTCCATCTAAACAATGCAATGCTACAAAGGTGTCTACTAATAAAAAATAAAAATAAAAATAAAAAAGCGGCAATAACAGTCAATAAGGGAGGGGGCAAAAATATCAACTCTGAGGCGATGCTTTAGCAACGGCATTCTGAGGAGCCTGTGCATTTCCACTGGCATTACCATCACCGCCAGTATATGCCGCAGTCTGGGTATAACCAGCAGCACCATAAGAAGTGTTGCTGTATGGAGGCGGTGTCTGACCATAACCTTGAGGAGGAGCACCATATGTTTGAGGAGCGTACCCTGGTTGCACCGCCCCACCATAACCAGACGATGGTGCTCTCGATTCAGGTTGAGCATACCCTGAAGCCGGGGGCTGTGCAGCATATGCTGATTGACCATAGCCTCCTCCTGCACTAGGAGACTGTGACTGTCCATAAACAGGTGGATTGCCACTCGGTTTTTGAGATTGAGGGGTTCCATAACCAGGCTGTGGTTGAGTGCCATACGCTGCTTGGGATGTTGGGGGAACCCCATAACCTGCCTGAGACCCTTGGGGTGGGTAATTGGCAGTGTTCGAGCTAGGCTGTTGGCTGGCAGGATAACCTTGCTGTGGAATGGTAGTAGATTGAGCGGATGGAGCTTGGGCTGAATCTCCCTGTGAAGCATAGTTTGCAGTGTGGCCATCTTGTGCAGGGTTACTGCTACTGCCATAGCCGCCAGTAGCTGAGCCATAGCCTTGCTGCTGATCATATGTTGGTGGCTGCCCATACCCTGATTGGGATTGGGCATTATAAGCATTATAGCTGTCCTGTGCATAACCCTGTCCAGGTTGATTATAACCAGAGGAAGGTGGCTGACTGTAATTGTATGCAGAGCCATCAGCTGGAGGTATATGACCACCAGGATTCTGTGGTTGCTGTGGCTGTTGACTATAGTAATCATAACTACCAGCATGAGAAGACTGCTGTTGAGGTGGTGCAGTAGACTGGTCCCAGTTTGTGGAATATCCACCAGGTTGCTGAGGAGGATATCCGGCATATGGTGCCTGCGGCATGTTATACTGGGGCGATGGACCAGAGTACGCTCCAGGTTGCATATAGCCATAACCAGGTTGCTGCATTGGGGCAGGAGGAGCCCAGTTAGAGGGAGGTCGAGATTGGTAACCTTGCTGAGGATAACCACCAGACATTGCAGGATTTCTGGGACGATTCTGTGGAGAGAAAAATTGAATCCAAAAATAGAAAAGTGTGAATTCACCCGATGTTCCACATGGTACAAGTAAAGAAAGCAACAGATGCACACACATACACAGATTAAAATTAAACAAATAAAATTCAACATATAAAGACCACAATATAAAAGGTATATATGTCTTGCATTAACATAATATAATGCATACAAAAATCAGAAAGGGTTATAAATACCTACATACCGTACTGGTTCGTGATAAAACTGAGTTACTCCAGCAGAAGCACACCCTTTCCCTATTCGAATTGAATGGGTACAAAAGGAAGCACAGACCAAAGAAACAGACAAGCATACAATCTTTATTGCCTTAAAAGGGCAATCCATCATATAATATTTCAAAATATGGAGAATCTTAATCCAATTGTTGCAGTATATAATATATCATTCAAGAGTGTCTGTACCACAGTATTTCATACAATCTATAGTGCCTTTAAAAAGGCAATTAATTATATATCATCTCATAATATGGAGAATCTATTAGCAATTGTTGGGGCATACAGTATATCATTCATAATTATATTAATTAAACAAGAGTGCCTGGACCACAGATGGAGGAGCAACCATAAATAAATGCAAATATACAGACTTTTACACAACTTCTCTGCTCCCATGTACATCATCTTAAACTTTCCTCAACCCAATCTAACAGGTCAATCATAAAGGATCATCCAATAATAGCAAATAAAACTAAATATTATTTTAATGGAACAGAAATTTATGATAGGGGTGAAAGGCCTGCAAACATATCTATTGAGCGCAGCTCAA